GTGACCTGGCTCATTCATTGTGTTCCCTCCTAGGCATCGCCTTTTCACCAAGCGGATCCCACCTGTACGTTGCCGACACGGGAATGACGCAGGCCTTCTTCGGAAACGATTTCAGCTTTGTTTCAAGCATGTAAGGCAGCCTCCGTTCTTGCACTACTAACCCATCGTAGCTCCAACCCCTACTCGTGCTAACCTGCTGCCAGTTACCGTTTCGACGTCCTTGAAGATGGTACCCTGGAAAACCGCAAGACCTTCGCATTTGTGACACCTGGTGTGCCGGATGGTATTCACGTTGACACCAAGGGCAATGTCTATTCTGGATGTGGTGATGGCGTGCAGGTGTTCAATCCGTCTAGGAAGCAAAGGGGCAGGATTTACCCCCTCTGAAAGAGGAGGAAGACGTGCCGCGGCCGAAGGATTGGAAACGACATTATAACATCCGTTATAACTGGGCGAGGGGTAAGTCCGCGGTCCGTTGAGCTGAGGCTTGGTAAAGAGGGGGGGGTCGAGGATCCTTAGAAGAAGAAAATGCTGGTCAAAGTGGTGGAAGGGGCTGCGATTACGGCTGATGGAGATGAGGGCCTTCGCGCCTGGGATCTCAAGAGCCGGAGCATGATTGCAAAGATCGAGGTTGGGGATCGCGGCTCTAATACTGCGCCGAGTTGTATAGCCGTCGACGAGAGCGAGTTTGAGCGTGGATTGCTCGACGTGGCACTCGGTTTCGATGACGGGAGCTTTGGCGTATGGCGGTTATCCACCAGCAGGAGGCGCTTGGAACAACGATACCGACATGAGAAATCTAGCAACGGCGGGCTAATGGCGATGGCCTTCTCATACCCGTTCCTACTGACCGCCACAGATGCAGTCCTGATCTCTCTGTACACCTTTGATGGTCCGAAAACGAGCGGGGCTGAGCAGAGGAGTGGGAAAGCCGATGCTGCGAGCGACAGGACGGCCAAGTTATCTTCGCCATACCTCTTAACATCTCTCGATTCACATACTTCGCGACCGCCCCTGGCGTTGTCCATTCGCAGGGCTGGAAGGGCGACCGTTGCCTCGGTGGCCTACACCTTCTCCACCCGCCGGGGTTGGTCAATTGGCCTCCAAGACCTGCATATTCGCCAGCCCCCGTCAAACTTCAAAGCCGTACCCGAAATTACAACTACCCGGATTGCATACACCGCGCCAGTAGAGACGAGCGGCCCTTCTAGCTCCCCGCTCAGTCCACCAGCGACGTCTCGGCGTGGACCCAACCGCATCCTCGGCGAACCTCCTTCTTCAGCTGCTTTGGATGCCGCTGATTCGGACACTACAGCCGTTGGGCCTACTACTCTCTGTTATACCCACCCATACCTCCTAGCAACTCTGCCAGACAACACCCTCGTCCTACACATGTGCACATCTAATGCCTCGTCACTTTCCATCTCAGATGGTATTCGGCTCTGGGGCCACACCTCCGGGATCAGTGATGCCGAAATCACTGCCCGCGGCAAGGCCGTCAGTGTCAGCACCCGGGGTGAGGAGATGCGCGTGTGGGAGCTTGAAGGACGATCGGCTGGCGTTGGCAGCCGCAGTGTTGAGATCCGGCCTTGGCAGTCACCGGGCGGCGGCGGAGCACCGAACTCTCTCGCGTCTGATGACAGCCTTGATCTCGGTGACCCCGCACGCGACTGGGATGAGAGGAGAAACTGGGTGGGTTTTGACGACGAGATGGTTATTGTGCTGAAAGAGGGGAAGGGGGCGCGAGAGAGCCTGCTGGTTTACGACTTTACATGAAGTATGGATACGGATTGCAGAACCAATCCCACACACAGCCTACACGCCGACATAAGCGCTCCAAATCCTGCGGATGACTGGACGATGCCTGCCAGCAATTCGCTCAAACTCAGCAGTAGTACAACCAGAGGGGTCTGAACCAGACGCTGTTGCCTCTTTCGCGATGCGTCACAAACGGTGTGGCAACTGGTTGGCGGGCTGTTTCTTCGCTGCGGCGTTGGCCTTCCCGCCGACGCGATGTGGCGATTTCTCAACCCCTCACAACAATCGAAACGAGATGAAAGCGTTGGTTTATGGGACTACATTGCCTTTCAACCCCCGTCGAATTACGTCCACGTCGCCACGGCAGCTTTTTTTGGTTGAAGAGCCGCATCCGACCCCCCGCCCAGGCAAATCTTTCGGTTCCAAGCCTCCTCAGGCAACTCAATAAAAACCACTAGACGTGGTCAGTCCTCATCCAGTGGTCGAGACCGCGACCGGTCCTCCTTGGACGAACGTTCTCTTGCCCGCGAGAGCCTCCTCCTGCGGGTTTTCATTACTGCCTTCCTGCAATTAAAGCCTTGTTTACATCACCAATCAAGGCAGTCAGTCCTAACCCCTGCCGCCCGAGTTACAGAGAACTGGTTTCTCGAGGCCCACAAACAACTCTAGGAGGGACGGCAAAAGACTCATCGCAGGGTTGCCATCGCAGGGTTGCCATCGCAGGGTTGCCATTGCAGGGTTGCCTGTGTCCCTCCCCGCCCCGGCTGGTCCGGCACTTTTGCGCACGCTGCCGTGTTGCCTTACGACGAGGACACGCACGCACACAACAGCAGAGAGAACGGGGGCAGAGGAAGCAAGAGCATTGCGTGTGTGACATTTGATGGTCTGCCTGACCGCCGACATCCACTCAGCCCTACTTTCCTCCACACCTCGGAATGCCGGAAGCCGCCGACGGGGGAAAACTGGTCACCTCTCACCTCGCACCCCCTCACCGCCCGCGAGTCCAGCTGGTTTGGGTTTGAGAATCGATCGAAACCCGTTTTGAAACCTGCTTCACATCTCGCGCATTCCTTGCTTTTGCAGGCAGACGGTCTGCACACCATTCCCACATCACACTAAACGGTGCCTGTGATCGATTATTTGAGACTAGAGTGTGTGGGATGACTCTTTGCAGTGAGACATGACACCGTCAGGTCAACCCCCCGTCCTCCACTGATATGGCCCTACTGCGACAAATCCAGACTAGCTCCCACACGAATGCCGACCAAGTCTCAGACAGAGGGTGGTGGTCAATTGACACAAACGATTCGTCACCTGAGCAGTCATTCGGGGTGTGGGTGTGTGGCAGGCAGCGGCAACGACCAGCCTTGCATCAAGTCCGTCCCCGAGCAGGGAAGAGGACGGGGGGTGTGATCAATTGGGGACCTTGGCATTGACGAACAGGGGGGGCACCGATTTTGATAGGTTCACGCCTATCTGTTTCGGGTTTTGTGGATGGGATTCACACAGAAACCCGCGGGGAGAGGAGGAGAGCGGGGGCGATGAAGCCGGGCGACGCGGGGCGCTGTGACCAAGGCAGTGCCTGTTCATAAAACGGAGGTTCTGCACAACATGGGACTTGTTGATAATAACTCGGTCCTCAGCGCGTCAATGTTGTTGTTTTGGGGCGATGTCATCGATTGGCCCGTCTGCCAGGTACCCGGATGTTGATGCCCCTCGAATTGCCGACGACGGAACCTGATTGCTCGTTTCCGGATTTGCAGTGCATGCGACAGACCGCAAAGACAGCACCACCTCATCCTGCAGGGCCTAGTAAGTGGCAGAATTAAGCTCTGGGTAGCCCTGGTCGGCGATCAGACCCGGGGTTGGCTGGATTCTGCTGTTTCCAGTCTCAGCTAGCTCTGTTTGAACAGAGAAGGCTGTGGGAGATTGGACAATTGGCAATCAGGGCGACCAAATTCATGCGCTCTGCCCTCACTAATTTTCCCCGAGCGCCTGGAGGCAGCCCATTCGGCGGGGAAGCCGGCTGGCAGGCATCTTCTCTGTCGTGGTGGACGCTTGTTCGCTCTTTTGCCCGAGCCCGCATCTCCCCTCTGCAGCAGGGAGGAAGGAAGGCTGGTTCTGTTTGGAGGTCGGTGAGGACAGCACAGCCAAACGCTGATCTGGTACCAATCGAAGCGGCGGGGAAGTTGTTGAATTGACCGACCCGTTGCTTTTAGCGCCGTGGAATGAATGGCGGCGAGTGGTCGACACCGCCTGCAGTTGCTGCGCAATTGACCAATGGATAATGGATGATTCCCGAGAAACATTCTCCCAGTTTGAGCACATCAAAATCCAGAAACAAATCGACGCCAGCCCAAACAGGCGCTGCAGCGAGAATGTCTTTCCCTCGCCTAGGTAGCTGGATGCTTTCATCTTGACTTATCATGGATCCGAAGTGCCTCCATTTATTAAAAACTCGCAAAAAGAGAAGGAGATGGCGCCTTGCAGTGCTTTCCCTGCTGCTGGAGCGTTTCCGACCCGAAACGGAAGGAGGGCCATGTGAGATGAGGGGCAGCCAGACCGCCCCCCGTGTGCGCCCCTCCTCCAAAGGCGGGGTGATAAGATAAGCGACAACATCAGAGCCTGAGTGTAACGGTGGGATGAGATGCTTCGCGGTATGGTCTACCAGTCTAGCATGTGAAGTGGGCAAGCCATTGTACTTTAGTCACAGAAAGTGGAATAAATGGTCTCTGTCTCAAGACGGAGGGTGTCGACCCGCGCTCGCGACATTTCGTCTCATAAATGTGGTGGTGGTGGGGGGTCATGTGGGATGAAGGACGGCGGTTGCTTCCAAACCGTGGGGAGTAGGAACAGAAACGAGGAGCTCCTCTACGAAATGTCTTATTTCTCGATCATAATGGAATCCCCTTCGGTTGCCTCGGAGCGAAGGAAACTCGGAGAGAGAGAGAGAGACGGTGGCCACAGTTCGTTAAATCCTTAAAGTCCGGCTGAGAAACCGGTCGGAGACAGAAACAGCCCGTGTCAGGCAACAGAAGACGGTCTGACAATCGCCCCACGAGCTTCCGTATTATCTCACCAATTCGTGGTCTACTAGGGCCATTGACTCAATTGCACAAAATGGCCGCCATTACCCTTGGAATGAGGGGCCACGCGTCAGCCCATTGACAACCCACACGAACGGGAGCGAGCCGAGCTGAGCGCCGCATGGGGAGTAAGGATCGGGCTTGTATGCCAGAGTCAAGTTCAGACGAAGTTGGCAATGGAACCTAAAACATGCCTTCTGAGGCTTGGAATAAGTACGGCGTAAGTGGCGTGAACCTGATGATCACCCATCCCACCTTTGAAGATAAAAGCAGCGGAATGGAAGATGATCATTGATGAAGGGGAGATGGAAAGGAGGATTGGAAATGCCATGGTGTTTGACGAGACGGGGTCAATGTCTTAGGTTACTTAGGTTCACACCTCCGCGGTCGCCTTGATGGGTGTCAGCAGGCACGGCCTAGTACATTGAGAATGCCAAGAGTACATGGAGACCCTGAGTCTGCTATCGATAGCATATTACGCTAAACTTTAAAGGGCAGGGGAGCCTTTCGGGCAGTCCAGTCTTTGGATCTCACTGGCCAAATCCTTGCGCCTTTCTCTCATTCCTTTGATCCACAGATTCCAGTTCAGTCCATCGCCAGCAACAATCCTATGAGTCACACAGTCGAGACTACCGGAGCCTGTTCGACCCTCCGCGATTGGAACGACACCACGAAACGGACCGCTTCCTGTATTTGCAAGCACCGCGTAATTGGCCAATTCGCGTTCCATTGCTTTCCCTCGGTCCACGCAACTCGCATTGACAGGCTGCAATCGACAAGTTACAAGCATGTCGTTTTTTTGTTTGACGGCGAGCCCAGAATTCGGCGAGGGGTCGCCCCATGGAAGGAAGACGACAGCTTACTCCACAGCAAACCGCCTCGAAACAACAGCTCAACCTCGCTGCCCAAATGGCAGCCCAATCGGTGCTCAATTGAGTCGGTGAGGTCGTGAGAGCTGCTTCACTGGCATTACAGCTCCACACCAAGGAAACCAGGCCGTTCGTTCGCCCCTCTTTCCCCTCTCTACCCCTCCTTCCCAATTCCCTCTACTATGTTTTCCTTCAGCAAGCTGATCTAGAGTTTTGGCCTATCAGTTGGAAATTGAGCGAAGCCGGCGGCGGACCGACTTGGCTGACCTCTCAAAGGTTCTCCACGCCAAACCGCTCCCCAACTCTAAGTTCTCAACTTGCAATATACGACAGACGCGTCTCAAGGCCATACAAGTTAAACATGGTTCAGAATCTGCGGAGGAGGAAGAGCCGGCGCGTCAACTCATTCAGCAAACCTTCTCATCAGATGAATTGAGATTTTTTTGTCTCTAAGGAGACAAGAACAACAACGGCACACGGTCTGCCGACTCCGCTCGCTACGCCGACTTCGTTCCACGTTTCAGGTACAAATGCCTTGGGACCTTATGGATCAAGAAGTCGCCCCTACGGCATACCACGAAAGGACTATGCCATCTCATACCATTTGGAGTGGTATCCGGAGTCTTCGCCAACGCCCTCTGGCGCGCGTAGTTGGCTCACCATCTTCCCTCGGTTGCCCAACATGCACGGCTTCAGATAAACCATCGAAGCAGCGCAAGCCAACGAACCGACCTGGGATATGCACGGCTTAACCCGCCCGAAGCGCGCCAGATGGTGAAACCTCCCCATCTTGCAGATGCCAGGTCAGACACGCTGCGGCTCTGGTTTGGTGCGGGAACCGCTAAAATACTACTTGACACATGGCGATTCGACCCGCCTGCCACTGATACTTGCAAATGTAAGACTTTGCCTCTAGCTGATCTCACCAACGACAAGGCATTCAAAAGTTTTGTCTGAAGCGAATCTTGGGGAAACACGGCTGATTTGAGTTGGCAGTTGGCAGTTCTGATTGCTGTCTTTTCCTTTTTTTTTTTCCCGCGGTGTCGCTGCCATGAGGTACCTCGCTTTGGGCAGAAGTACCTGACCTATTTTTGCCTAACGGAGACGGAGTCCTTGACGGGTGACCATTGGCTGGGCGCAGAGCACCCGATATGATTGGCTACATGGAGATGGAGAGGGGGTGTGTGTGCCGGGGTGTCAGTGGGTGTGTGTCTGACTGTGGAGTGTGGGTGACTCCTCACGGTGTCCCAACATCCCTGCCAGACACGCCACGCCACTCCACTTACACCTGAACCCCAGATTCGTGCCCGCCCACGCCGCAGCGGTCTTGCCTGGAGCGACAGACGCGTTGTGCGCCGCTGTGTGACCTGCTGTCGCAATCTTGCTCCGACTCCCGTCTCCCGTTCCTGGGGCCTTGGGCTCCCAGCCCTGCCGATGCCCAGCCAGCCGTCAAGTGGTGGGGGAGGGGATGGCCGATGGCTGATGGCTGATTCTCATGAAGCCGCTGTGGTACTTACATGGCCGTGCCTCCTCCATTTCTTCTTGCCCTTCTTCATCCTCTTTCGCCCTTTCATTCTACCTGTTTGCGCCCTTCCGCATTCTCTCCGACCGAATCCAGACACAGTTGGCATAATCTACTGCCTTGATCTGTCCAGACACGCTGCCCCGGCCGCACCGCCTTTCGCCACTCCAAGGCTTTCCAGCGCATTCCATTGACCGGCCATTGCGAAGCATTGCGAACCGCCGCCAGTTATTGTTCTGCACCAACCCCTCTTGTCCACTACGGTTGGATAGACGAATATCGGTGCTCACATTGTCTTCTTCATTATTCAACAATCGAGAAAATCTTACACCCTCTTACAAAGAAGGCTCACCGACCTTGAGACGCTCCCGGACCTACGCATTCCCGGCCCCACGCACAACTCTTTGTCACCAGCACCTTCGTCCTTGCATCTATTTGCACAATCAGAAAACTGCACTGCTTGCGCAACCAGCTTCACCAAATTCACCTTTCCCACCACAATTGGCATCTTTAAACCGCCTCTCCGTTGTCGTCGCTTAATGACGGCTCACATCTTCGCCACCTTGTTCCAAGTCATAACTGCGTGTTAGGGCTGACAAACCAACCATTTCTACCATGCAACTACCCATGACACACAATCACATGAACCAGACACATCACATGAATCAGGCAACAACAAGGTCGCCTTGGGCCTCTTCATCATCTCCCACCTGCTTTTCCCCCAACACCAACAAAAGAGATGCAGGAAATCCCAGCCATGTCGCCAAAGCATCAAAAACCCTGCGATATCAGCAACCTGATGTCTCCTCCCGAACCTGCTCCGCTGGACTCATTTAAGGTGACGGGCTCAGCGACCGGCAAGCCCGCCTCTGAAGTTCTGAGACACATGCTCCGCACCATCCTCTATCCCCGCCTGTGTCACCGGTTCCCGCAAGCTGGTGAACACGATTCAGCCCGGGCCCCTCCCCTCAACCTAAACGGGCCCGGGACCCGATCCTCTACCCCGCCAGGGAAACCTCGACAAACGCTCCCACTGGTTCGCTGTTCTCGCTCACGCCGGCATCTGTCGATAAATTCACGACGGCAACGGAGCAGTTGGTGAGCGAGCACATCGCATCGAGACCGGCCGACCTTTTCCGGGACTTGTCCCCGCCACGAGTCGAGGATTACGAGTTGGCGCTTTATTTTAAATCCAACTGCTTCCGGATGTTCAAGGACAACCCGAAGGAGTGGCTGCGCAAGGAGCGCGAGCTTCTCCGGGCTGACCGGAAACACACTGCCTTGTCGTTTCAGCCCGCCAAATTGCCACACATTCTGCCTGCTTCAAGGCCAGCGGTCTTGGGGCCGCAGTCAACCAAGGCACTCACCGCGCGGGTCCAGAAACAGAAGTCGGCGAGGGCCAAGTCGCAGAATCCGCGGCCCATCCGGGCAACACCAGCACCAGCCCGGGAGACAATCCGGGTCAGCACTCCAGAACCCCGTGTTCGAACGGTGGCGCCGAACCGTGAAGATAAGGACTTTTTGTCCTTGGAAGACCTCTCGCCGCCGGTCGCCACACTTCCTCCGAAAGCGAACAGCCTCAAGGTCGACTGGAAGGGAAACGCGCTGGATCTGAGCAACGACCCGAACCGACACCTGCTCCATCCAGACGAGCTCACCCTGGCGAGCAATCTGCGGCTCGATTGCGCGACGTACCTCACTAGCAAGCGGCGAATCTTCTTGCGGCGGCTCGAGTGCGCCAAGATCGGCAAAGAGTTCCGCAAGACGGACGCGCAACAGGCATGCAAGATCGACGTCAATAAGGCGTCGAAGCTGTGGCAAGCCTACGACCGCGTGGGGTGGTTGGATATTGAGTGGATGCGAGAGTTCATGACCCGCAAGCTTTAAACGACTTGTGATGAATCGACGATGGGCTCGACGCAGGGTCCTTTCCTTCTTTCGCTTCGGTCGATCGCATGACCGTTTATTTTCCTTCTTCATCTCACGGCATCACGTCACGGCATCACAGCATAACGAAAGGTCATATGATACCCCCGAGCGCGGCAGAACCGGCTCGCTCAAGTTCCCAGTTTCCATTTTCCCTTTTTCCTGTGTTTTTCTTTTGTCCCCGGTTCTCACAGCATTGCATCGCATGGCGGTTTGGGTTGGCGGCTGGTGATCAGGTATACGGAGGCGCGCCACTTCGTTTTGATAGCTCATCTGATTTACAGATTGGAAAGGATGGCACGGTCAGGGTACAGTGCATGGGGGGTCGTTTGTTTTACATCTACTGGCGTTCAGGGGTTTGGGATGGGAGCGATGGGAGGGCAGGAAGACATGCCAGGTCGTGTCAGGCAGCCCGGGAAGCATTGGGGCGATGGGCAGCATGAATATACCCCCTACATTTCCCCCCTCATTTTTCGGGTTATTTCATTTGGTTGTTGGCACTTTTTGCTGTTCAAGGGACCACTTTCCCCTCTCATTTGTGGCGGAGTATCGGATGAACATGGGATCATACAACCGTAGCAAGTACGTTCTCTTGGCCACGTGGCTCAGCTCGGTCAGACGCGAGCCAAGGAAAAGATCACTCTTTCAGTTTGCCTCAGTCTTTACACGGCAAGATGGTTTTGAACGGCGGTGGTGTTAACGGCGCTGAGTTCTCGCGGCCGACGTGAAAGCCCAATAATAGAATAGCCTCAAGCTAATGCAATGGCGATTGCTGGGTTTCTTGATCAGCACGGGTAACTGTGGTAACTGCTCCGGGTTGGGTCAGGGCTGGACAAGGGCAAGGGGGCCAGACAGAACACCCTCTCAGCCCGACGGTTCGAAGTGATGTCATGATTTGGTACGCCCTGACAAGAAGGATCCACATCCGTTGACACTCTTGAAGCGCCATGTCACGGTGACATTTTGGTGAGATCATTGAACTTGGTATTATACTGGACAAGATCTCGTAGAATAATACTTTGTTCCCAATTGCTCAATATCTACTTACGCAGTGGCGCTTTAATAAGCTACGAGGCCCTCTCCAACGGCCTGTTTTCCCCGTGACACTGACTTCATGATCGTCTGTGGTAATTAATTGGGATCATCTTGTACATACACACAGTACAGCCATTGCGTCATATTCCTTCCCAGTGTTCCAGTAGTTAAGGAATGAATGAATCTGACTGAGCTGACACTTCTACCCCACCGCCAACAACTTTGCTGTTTTTGTCTCTTACTGCCCCGCTGCCAGTACATAGCCCCCATCCACGACCAGCGTGTGCCCGTCAATATACTGGTTACACACCAGACCCAGCACCCCCTGTGCCATGTCGATATCCCTTCCCGGCCGGCCCGCAGGCACCTTCTCCTCATACTTCTCCTTCTCGATGTGGCTCTTCTGGAACTCGTCGCTCTCCCCGGCCGTCATCTCGCTGGGAAACACGCCGGGGGCGAGGCCGTTGACGCGCACCTTGTGGCCGGCGGCGGCGACCTCGGCGGCCAGCATGCGCGTGAGGTGCTGGGCGGCGCCCTTGGCGGCGTTGTAGGCAAAGTGGTGCTGGGCCGTCTTGATCAGCCCGCTGATGCTGGTGATGTTGACGACGGTGCCGGACCAGTGCGGGTGCCGCTCCGACGACCTTTGCAGCAGCGGGAGGAAGGCGGCGGTGGTGAAGTAGAGGGAGACGACGTCGGTTTCGTAGGTGGCCAGCCAGTCTTGGGTGGTGGACTTGGACGTGTCGAAGAGGTTTTGTTTCATCTCGGTGGCGGACCCGGACTCGGGCTGCACCGTCTCGCTGGAGATGCCGGCGTTGTTGACCAGAATGCAGAGGCATGGTTCGCGGGACTCGACTTCTTTGACTAGGCGGGCCACTTCGTCTTTCTTGGTCACGTCGCCTTGCAGCGCGATGATGGAGCCCTCGATGTCTTTGTTGTAGGTTTCGACTACCTTGTCGAGCTTCTCGCGTGTGCGCCCGACGATGTAGACTTTGGCGCCGTTGGCTGCAAGTGCTTGGGTAATCATCAACCCGATTCCCGAACCGCCGCCGGTTACAAGGGCCACACGGCCCTTGAGGTCGAACAGCGAGTTGCGGTTGAAGTCGGCGTGGCTTGCGACGGCGACGCTTTTAGACATTTTGGCGTAGGTTCGGGTTACTGGTGGGGTGATGAGGCCAGGGTATTGTGTGCGAGTAGGAAGGGCAGCTCTGGAAAATGCAGGTTCAGAGGACTTTGAAGTGGTGGTGAGTGTTCTGCTGGTTGTTCTGCTGGTTGTTCTGCTAATTCGTGCGAGGTAACCTGTCGTGGTTCGGAGTCTTGTTACTAGAGTGGTGGTCATGTCGCAATAAGCTTGAGGAGAGGAAATTCGAGGAGCTTAGACGAGGGAAGCTGAAGCCTTTTTAGAAGCTCCAGTTCCTCCTAAGAGACAGGAGCGTGGTGAAACTGAAATCGATGACTTCATCGTCTCCATGAATGACCAGCACTTACACCTGCTGGCCAATCAGCGAGGAGGATGGCATTCGATTCAAGACTTTCGAATACGACGGGACCACAACAAAGCTTCTTTTTCCTGTTTTATCCTTTACGTAGTCTTGTTGCATACAGAATAGAAAGGGAGGCGCCGGAGAGGTTTGACCGGATGTTTTGTGTTCGGACCAGGTGCCCGTACATGTAATGCACCGCGGTATATCCACCAACACCTTGCGTCACTTTTTCCATATTGGGACTGAGTGAACTCGTCTCCAAGTTCCAATGCTAAATGGCCTGGAGACATACCCGAGCACACAGTAAGATGGTATACACTATTGTAGAGGGGTAAGTGAACGGTCAGAAAGAGGTCATTAGGCTATGCCTCCCTTCCCCTGAGAACTTGACCGGAGCAACACTGACTAAGATTTAATCCAGCATTCCCATATATACCCGTCAATATTTGTGCTCTCGTTGCTCGGCGGTAGCCAACTCCACATCGGTTCTCGGCCAAAGGTGACTGAGATCGCCCACGGGTAGGTTGAGGGTGATGCGCATCTCTCCCGCCATGATGATGAAGCACATGTACCAGCCCAAGGCGGCCACGATGAACAACAAGGCTCCTCCCCCCTGTCGCCAGAACGTTAATGGACTTTCTCCAACACTCGCACTATGGATAACACTCGCCTTTTGCAACCGCCCAGCACCCTCGTAGTCTCCCCAGCTGACCTTCCAATATGCCCCTGACAACACCCATGCGGCCACACTCACAAGCAAAAAGATGGTTGCAAACACGGCGTTGATCTTACATGTGAAGATGAAGAACGTAAATAGGGCAAATCCCCAGACAATCAGGTAAACCGCCACCGCGGCGTTGTATTCTCGCGATGAGAGGCCCGTGGGATCGTCGGCGGTTGCGAAAGGGGCTCCGAGTTGCAGCGTTGGAAGCTGGAGAAACCCAAAGCTTCCCCAAAAGACAGAGAACAGCCCCATAACCATCATGGGGAAGAAGTTACCCATCACCCATTCAAGACCATGGCGAAGGTGAGGAGGACGGGCCCGACGAAGAAGAAGATGCCGCTAGGTAAGGAGTGATGATGTTAGTCAGGACGTGGGAAATGTGTGCAACAGATCACAGATGAAGTTGGAAGACAGACTTACACAACTGGTGAGAAGCCCTGTGCTCCACCCCATCCCATGCAAATGATGGCGAAAGTAAAGGTCGAGATGACGAAGCTGTGTCATGTCAGTACCTTGCTCAATGTCATGCTTGGGTTTGGATAAACCCGGGCTACCCACCCAACAAAGCCGAGTGCGGTCGGGTTGGCAAACCGCCGGTTGTAGTCGCCGAGCTGAGGCACCTTGGGCGTGAGGTACAGCTTCTCGAACAGCTCGGGTGACATGGTTATGCCCGTTTGAGTCCTGTAGAGGCCCTTCTCTTCGTCGCCCGCCATCTTGGCCCCGCTCGCTGTCGTTGCAGGCTCCGCAGTCGCCATCAGATCATTACCTTAGGATGTCTAGAAGCGAGTAAGAAGCGAGTAAGAAGCGTAATGGTTACTGCAGACAACAATGGCTGGGGATGGCTGCATACTCCCATTGCCGGGAAGGGCGATTCATTTAACGTCGGCCCCCGTCCCATGTGGGCAGAGTGCCGCACGCTAGCCTACACACCTGCATCCCTCGCCCAGATTCTTCCATGACAGCAGATGGTGGCGCACGGTATCAGAGTGACGGGCTACTTTGGGAGATTGGGGAGGCTCGATAGGGGCCTGCGGCCATGGTTATCTGCGGGCTGGTTGCCCGCCTTGTTCCTATTTGTTCCCGCCTCCCGCTCACACAAGGCTAGTTCCCCGGAAGCTTCCCATGGACACAGCGTCGTGTCAGTCCGGCACTGCAGAGTTAGCGTACCGGACTTCGGGGAGCAAACATTCTGGAAGCGAGAGATGAGGGAGACTTGACTAATTGGGTCGTCGACCAACAAAAGGGGAGCTAATGTGGCCTGTTGCGCATGGCACATGCAGTATGTTCCACTTCGGGTGCAACATCTACTACCGAGTGGCTTGATATTGCATGTTGGAGTCCAGACCAGGGGCGGGGAGGGGGGTTGTTGAGAGAAAGTACTCGGAGACTTCAATTGTTTAACCGACGGTAACCTGACATTATAGCAGAAAGTTCCAAATAAAGTAAGTAACCTCCCACTCTTTGACTGAGCAGAAGATTCGATTGTCTTGTACTCCCCTGGCTTGTTACTTGCCGACACAGCAGGTACTTTCTACATTGGGCAGGTGTCTGTAAACTGCCTACCATGGTTCCAAACTTACTTCATTATTTCCAATCTAATGCTGCTGCCCCTGAGCGAATAGAGGTAGGTACTTTCTCAAACCAGAGCAGTTTCGTCCCTGCGCTGAGAAACAAGGGAGCAAAAGCGTGAACCCAAGCGGGTACCTGAAGGTGAACCGGAGATTTCAAGTGCCAGATTTTGTTAGAGAAACCGGGTTGATCCCTCTTCGATTCTGGGAATGAGTGATATGCATCCTGCCTAGACTTATGCATGTATTAGTAGTACATTGAGGTACTGATCTACTGGCTCTATTTCACCAACATGCCGCTATCGTTGTGCTTCGTGTCTTCCAGGCTATCAGGGGGAATCGGTGTGACCGACCGGTCCCGAGATGGGCGGCGTGGTGGGAGCAACACGACATCGGTGCTGCCGACGAGCAAGAAAGCATCCTGTGACTTGAGCACTGGTACCCCTCCGGAGGCTGGGATTTTGTAACATGCCCCTAGGGCAACGAGTTACAGCCAAAATACAGATTGTCGAATTCCTGCAAAGGGCCGAGATCCCGTAAATTTCGTATCAACATCTTAAAACGCTACACGCTGTCTATCGTCGCTAGATCGTTATGCAATGGTCCTGCAATGTCGTAAATACCGGACCGTTAGACCGTCACTCTCGCCCCGGGTATCCTCGAAGAAAGCACCCATAATCCCCAGCCCTGGAAAGTAGTCCATGCAGGGCTCAATGCCCCTAGACACCGAGCTACCCGCCAAGGCAAGCACCGTCCCAATGGCTCCGACGCAATACCACACCTTAAAACCCCGGCAACTTGTCGTACAGCCCATCATAAAGCTTCCCTACCCACCCCATCGTCTCCCCTCCCCTCGCAACAATACCCAGCCCACCCACAGCCCACAATACAGTCGCGGCCGCCGCTGCCCCGTTAATAACCATCAACCGCCTCAACCGCCTCCTCCTCCTCTTCCTATTCGCCCTATCCACAGCCACATTCCCCGTCGGGCGCTCCGGCACCCACCCAGCGGCCTGCGAAAGACCAACCCACTTGGGCCCAGCCCCAGACCATGTGGCCGCAACCCGCGGGCAACAGCACGGCGTAGGCGAGCCACGAGACGTAGCGGTGGCGAACAAACAACCCGTGCGGCCAACGTAGGCCAGACCAAATGTTGGCGCTGTTCGCCCTCGAACGGCCAGGCGGCAGGGGCCGCGGTTTGACAAAGACGGTGCGCCGGCCAGCTACGCCCCGCGAACAACGTAGCCCGAAACCCGGCGATGTTAGCTTGAAGGCCGGGCCAAGCCGCTTGTTAGCCCCGGGGGCGGTTTTGGTGGCGGGCGGAGGTATTGGGTGGGCCGGCGGGGGGTGCTCCCGCCCCGTTGGTAAGCGGGCGTTCGGTTGTGGGAGCGGCGGAGGAGGCGGACGGCGGCGCCGGAGCCGACGTGCGCGAGCACGGGCAGGACCACGAGAAGGGGCTCCGAGAGCGGTGTTTGGTAGATCTCGCGGGCGAGGAGGAGGTAGGACTCGGAGGCGGGCACGGATCGCGCGGCGAGGGGGATGATGGAGGTTGTTGCGAGGTGGAGGGCGCTGAAGAGCGTGAAGGTGTAGGAGGAGTAGCGCTGGATGCGGGTTACTGGGAGGTGTAAGGGTGACAGGTTAGTTCTGGTTGTCTCGAACGGTGGACTGCGAGGTGGGGGGCAAGGAGTGGAAGGACGTACGGTAATAGATTGCGCCATGGCCGCTGCCGCTTAACCCAAGGCCCGTCGAGGTGGTAGGGGACTTGACAGAGCCGGTCGAGTCTGAGAGTTTTCCGTCGTCGGTCTGGCCTGGTAGCGGTGGGAGGTCCTTGTCGACATTCGGGGAGTCCATAGGTGTCGGGTCGAGCTCTAAGAGGGATACCAGAGTAGCCTCGGAGGCCTTTGATCGTAGTGAATGGTTATCCATGGTGACGGGAGAACCGCGAACGGTTTACTCCTCAATTCGCAGTCTGGATGTGTTGGTGTCTTTGTGCGTTTCTAGGTTCCAAGTTTCCATTTGTTGAGCCGGCACTGGTTGACTTGGCTGTTGGCTGAGCCGTTGGCGGGCCGGAGACCCTGCGCCGTTAACCGAACCCCACAGCGCCTCACAGGGGTTATGTCTTGGCAGACATCAGTGCCAGGGCCCTTGTGCTGCTGCTATAATTTGGGTTTGGAGAAAGCATCCCTCACAATCACAATCACCAAAAACAGCCACCTGGCTTTCACAACCACCATCGAGCATCGTCTACGAATACTCCTACTCACAACCTCCAAAATGCCTCCAGTATGCTACCTCCGGTCCTACATCCGACACTCTTCCCAAAGTCCCCTCATCACTAACCCATCCACTCACAGCGCCACCAAACCCTCCCTCCCGCGCAAACCTCCTCGGCGCGCGAGGCCCTCCAATCTTTCTACTGCCAGCTTTGCCAAAAGGGCTATTCTCGCATGAACGACTACGAGGCGCACCTTAGCAGCTACGACCACAGCCACAAGCAGCGGCTCAAGGACATGAAGGCCATGGTGCGCGACCCGGCCGCGACAGCCCGCGCGCGCCGCCAGGAACAGAAGGCCGAGGGGGTGATCAGTATCAAGCTTGGGGAGGCGGCCGCTGGGGTTTCGGGGGGGGGTACCAGTGCGGCTGGTGGGGGGTTTAAGAAGGGCGGGTTCAAGAAGACGGGGTTTAAATCAGCTTTCGGGCCCGTCGTCGGTGGTGTGGCCCTACCGAAGGAGGATGCTGCTGGGCCGGGGAAGAAAGAGGGGGAGCCGAAGATGGGTCTGGCGGCAGCAGCGAAGAGTGGCCTTGTGGAGAGCGACACAGAAGATGAGGGATACGAGGTGTACGATCCGCGGAGGCCGACCGACTAAGACACGACCATGGGCATTGCGTCCTGTGCGAATACTAACATAACGACGACAACACCGTCCCTCAATTTTGGTTGGATTATGTTTGGTTACGGGAGGAACGAAACTCATCCACTGCCTGGCAGTGGTGAGAGGATTATTTTGAGGTATTCCAAAAACAACAAGCAACAAACTCGCAACCTATGACGCCAAAACAAACGCCAAACGCTCACATGACGATATACATCACTTCGTATACAGTGGGCCCATTTACTGGCCACCCGTCTACTGGCCACCCATTGCTGGCCACAGTTGCGGCTCAAACCCGGACAGGTCCTCCTCCAGCAGCCCCAGAATATGGGTATTGCCCGAGAACCAGTTTCCCAGCTCGTTCGCCTGGGCGGGATGGCCAGGACCAAACCCAGGTCCCGGAGGTCCCGGAGGCGGCGGCTGCATCGGGCCGGGCCCAACAAACTGTGCATCAGGCGGCTGCTGCATAGGATGGGCACCGGCAAACTGCGGCATGAACCCCAGTTGGCTCAGGTACATATCGATGTTGTTGCCGACCATGGTCATATCCTGGTCGCGCTGCTGCGGGTCCTGCCGACGCTGCGCTTTGGCCCGGACGCACAAGCTCGCGACGTTGTGCAGGACCTTACAGATGCGGTGGAGCTTGGCGACGGCCTCGGAGGCTGCACACACGGGCACCAGTGACTCGACAAAGTCGGCCACCCGCTGCAGGTCGACCATGTCCGACGTCTCGATGATATGACAGAAAAGGACGATGACAGGCGTGAAGGGGACGTAGATGACATTCCTGCAAACAGGTCGACGTCAGTATATGAGAGGACGTGAAGAAGTTGGGAGGAGGGGCAGGGATGGAGCCAAGGAAATACCATCGAATACACCCCGCCTTCACGGCCACGCTATCGCCCGCCATGCTCATGTACTCCTGGTGGCACGCAAACGCCTGGCGCGCGGCGTGGATGCACTCCGGGTTGAAGGTGCTGGGCGAGCCCGGCGGACTAGGAATGGCGCGGTAGACGAGCGTCAGGGCCGACCAGTGCATTAACTCGTCGCCAACGATCGCCATATCCATCGGGAAGGGACTGTTGGCGTCGAACTTGATGCCGCGCACCTTCTCGCGTGTTTTCTGCACCAGTGGCTCTTGCTCCTTGGCCAGCTTGTCTGTTGTCGCACAATTCTTAGTCTGTCTGCCCTGATGGGTAGTTCTGACACGGTGGGAAAAGGGAACGCACTCATAGTCCGGACAAGCTGCCGCGCGCTCTCGGCACGTCGCTCCTGTGGCCGGGCGAGCGCGGCGGGGCTGTACAACTGCTCATACGCGCGGCCGAGAAAGTCGGCGTACGCGATCCACTGAGTCAACACGATGGCCCACGAGGCGTCGGGCAGGTCATCGCCGTATTCCAAGCTCCGCGGCAGGGTGATGTCATAGTCCTGGATCGTAGGCGCCCGCCCCGACCGGACCGACAGCGCCTTGTCGAGCAGGTAGGCCGACCAAAAAAGCACAGCCCGGGGCGTCGTGTCGAGCCCGCCGTGCAAGCGGTGGTATCCCAGCGTCTGGCAGAGGTTGGCTGCTACGGTGTTGAGATCACGAGCGATAGAGAATTTGGAGATCTCGATGGCATAGAAGGCCTAGGGGATGCAAGCCGTCAGTATGGAATGAACAGCACACGGGATGGGTTGGGAAGGACATGCCCCTAGCAGCAACACCTCGATGCACTCCTTGCGCGCCGGCATTAACAGTGGCAGGTTGGTGAGGGCCGTCTCTAAGTTGTCGCGGCAGAGAGACTGGTACTCGAGTAGCTCGTCCCTCTGTGCGCCGCTAACCAATGCGGCCTTTTCCTGCAGCAAAAAGTACAGGCCCGCGTTGACGACGCCCCAGGACATGAGACTGAAGTCGTCGGTAGCGAAGTACACCCTACTGCACCGCTCCGCGAAGTTCTCGGCGGCGATGAAGGTGCAGATGGTTGCAAAACTGGCGAGCTTGCCGTCTAGGGGCCGAGTCAGTGTCCGGCTGGCAGCATGTCGTCAGGGGCGAGGGGTTTGGGGAACCTTTGGTCTCGCGTAAGGCGGTCACGACGATGTGGGCAGGCGGCATGGGGAGCTCACGGAGACCCCCCTTTGGCAGCGGCTTAGCGTTGACAAAGCGGGACTCGTGGGCGCCCGGGCGGTTCTGCATGCTCACGATCTGCTGGAGCGAGGACAAGGCCGACCGCATATCTGGGTCTAGGTCACGGGGCAACGTCCGGGTGACGGTGTTCTCGAGGAACTCGCTAGCAAACACTGTCTGGGCGGAGATGGAGGAGTCACCTTCGAAGGTTGAGATGGCATCATCGTCATGTTCACGCCCGTACACAATGTCATTAGTACCGCTGCCGCCTCCCGCGGTCGGCGAGGAGCCCAAGGGAACGGGACCGAGGCCGGCAGACCCACTCTCGGTAGCGGAAGCTGAGGGACTCCTGCTGGTGATGGAGACGGCCAGATCACGGAGCATGTTCTCGATATTTGCGAGGCGAGACTCGAAGTGGTCTATCTTTCGCTCGCTGTATTACACAAGAGGAGCCCATCTTGTTAGTATTGCCATTACATCACATGGCCAGCGCATGTAGTTACACAAACAAGCAGACAGGGTTCTTTTTAGTTGCCAGGAGGACTCACTATTGGGTCGAGATTAGCACCCGCTGCCGGGCTTCCCTCGGCCGCTGGCCGGCGCCGGTTGAACTGCATGGGCGGTTTGCGGTCCTGCAGTTTGCACATGGCGAATCCTTGTCGCAGCGTATCTGGAAAACAGCCTCTCTCTCAGCGGATTGAACCTTGATGCATGCAGGGCGGCCCTGGAGGAATGAATGCCGAGGGAGGGTTACTTGCCTTTCGGAGACGGCATTGATCACACTCCACAAGGGTCAGTCAGCATCAATGACAGGCTCTAGTGCGGGACCGCTGCTGCAGCTATTAGGACTTACAGCTCGCCTTGCCGAATTGTCGCCTTCGTGGTAATCGCCCTCCAGCATCATCGCTCCTTAGCCGTCAACTAGCGTCGAGCGTCGCCGTCGCCGGGACACTAACTAAGTGGATCGAGCTGTGGGTTGAATGAACAATGGTAACTCACGGGCGCAGGGAGCTATTGTTCAGCTCCCAGCCGGGCGGTCAGTGTGAATGAGAGGGTGATCTGGGTAGCAAATGCCCCCGGGATGCGGGGGCCGCGGAGGCCGACGGAGAGAAGGTGAAGATCGACGTTGGTAACTCTAACTATTACTAGAAGAGGGAAGAATAAATATTGGACGGTAATTTGATTCTTGATTTCCAAAAGATCTCGTGAGGAGGAATTGGCTTTGGTGTTATTCCCTGAATTTGTGGATTCATGTTTAGGAGAAGTGAGCATACGCAAAGCTGCGCAAGCAAAGCTGTGGAAAACGACGCTGGGCTGGAACCTCGGAACCAAAGCCGGGGACATCAGTGTTACCAGGGTTAGGGTAGATGGTAAGATGCTCATTCCTTCCCTTCGCCATCCTGCCAGGCGCCACTCAGGGGTAGTTAAGCCCCTGAAACCGCTCTACATATCAACAGACTCAACCCCCTCACAACACCCCTTCTCCCCCTGCCCATCCCCGTCCTCCACCAACACGCTGAGATTCCTCTCCTGCGTCGAGGGGGCCACGTCCAGCGCCGGGTTTCTCTCAAAAAAGTTTACAGGCTTCAACCCCACGATCATCTTCTCTACCGGCATGACAGGCCAGTCTTCGGCACGGGGGTTGTGCGTGGACCCAAAGGTATGCCAGATGACAATATCCCTATTCCTGACTCCCGACTCTCCATCTCCATCTCCATCCCCATCCCCATCCCCATCCCCTCGACCCTTCCTCCCCTTCCTCCTCCCCTCAATCCACGACGCAATCCCCTCCCCCCCCGGCGACTGCATCGTAAACCTGCCCGCCGGAAACAGCTCCGCATCATCATACCTCGTCACCCACACCGCATGCGCCGCAAACTCAGACCTCTTCGCATGCAAGCTCGACGGGTGTGCGAGCAGCATCTGGCTGTAGCAGGGCAGCAGCCGCACGCCGACGGGGGCGCGCGCGGTCGGGTGGCGCACGGATTCGTTGACGATTTTGAAGACGCGGTTCACGCGGTGGTCCAGGTCGAGCCCCGTCTCGTGGGCGATGTAGGTCTGCGTGGTGGTGTAGCCGACGCCGTGGGGGTTGGGGGTGGTGGGGGAGTGGAGGGGGAGCGGGTGGGATTCTTCGACGAGGAGCGAGTTGGCGTGGCCGTCGATGGCCGGGTCGATGCGCAGGCTGAAGAGGTGCTGGTGGTAGGGGGCTAGGACGCCGGGGGCGACGACGGTCCCGTGGGATGGGGGTGGGGTTGTGGTGGTGGTGGTGGTGGTGGTAGGGGGGAGGTTGATGGGGGCGGTGGAGAGGATACCCGTGGCGCGGACTTCGTAGTGCAGGGAAGCGTCTTGGCTGAAGTAGAAGAGAAAGATGTACTCGTAGTTGCTGGCTGTGATGACGGTTTGGAGGACGAGGACGCGGGACCGGGTGACGGCGGCGCGGCCCGTGCGGAAGTTGGTGTGTTTCCAGAGGATGCCGTCGTCGATCTCGTGGCAGCAGATGACGTTGGGCATCTTGAGGGGCGTGCCGGCGCGCGTGCTCAGCCAACCGTCGTAGTACTTGATGTGGCCCAGGCAGTCGCAGCCGAGCTGGAGGTTGTTGGCGCAGAGCCCAGCCCCGTCGTTGCCCAGGTCGAAGGCCGCTTTTCGGGGGTAGGGGGTGCGCGGGTCGCCGTAGGGCACGAACATCTCGGCCAGGGACAGCCGGTAGAACAGACTGCGGTTGTCGAAGCGGACGTCGTGCAGCGTCATGCCCTCGCGGTAGTTGAAGCCCACCCGCATCGTCCACTTCTCCCAGCTGATCTTGTTGCCCTCGATGGAGAAGGACGGCCCCTCAGGCTGGGAGACGTGGTAGGGCTTGGTGGTGGTGCGGTGCTCCGTGTTGAGCGTCGGGTAGTACTCGCTCCCCTCGTGGATCTTTCGGCGGTCGAACTTTTGAGGTTTGCCTTCGGTCTTTATCCGGTCGTGGTCTCCGGAGGGAAGATGGAAGATGTTGACCACCTTGAGCTCTTCCGACATCTCTACGCATAGATCAAGGGGGTAGGCGTAGTAGTTCGCGTCCGGGTCATCAGAGAGACGCATGTAGAACCAGCACTAGGAACGACGATTAGAGGCGGTTTCCACATGGGATGTCTACAATACCTACCATGGTCATCCGTTTTGACATGTCATTCATGCCGTCCGGCCCGTACGTCCACGGCTCTACCACCACTGTAGCGCCCTCGGGGAGGTTGAGAGCGGCAACCTGCTCCTTGACACGAGGGTCAGCCATGCACGCCACCTCGGCCTTACGCGTGTAGTCGCTATCGATGTGTGAGTGACGGCCATCCAGTCTTTCCTCCGAGACGACGCTCTGCCGGCCGAGATCGACCTTGAACTCGAAGAAGGTGTTGTCAACGTGAGCTTGGACCTTGGCAAGCCGAGGCGGGGGCGTTGGCGTCTGCTTTCCTTCATGTTCCATGTCAAGAAAGGGGATCATCGCGGCCTTGAGAGGCTCCCAGAGGGTTATGACCCGGAATATGACAGTATCTGCAGAATAGCGGCATATTAGGATGTCGGCGGCCTGTTTCAATTTCTTAGTAATCCATCACGGTGAGTTTCTAAACTAAGAACTATCTTGATCTCACCAACTGAATCTCTTTCGCTGTAAGCGGGTCAAAGGGGTGGCGAGGGGAGGCCATGGCTAAGACTTGACTTGGGTTTTGTTTACGCAACAATATCTTGTTCATCTGCCCGGGAAAGGGATGTTAAGAACAGAGTGAATAAGCGGGGTGGGAGCCAGAAGCAACTAATATACCATGGCGGCCTTGGTAGCATATCAGTTCCGGATCCCGAGTGCGCACCGAGAGCCGGTGTTGGCCGAGTCGGAAGCGGGGTGTGAGCGCTAACGGTAGGTGCAGCCGGCCCGAGCGGGATCGGCCCCGGAGCCGGACCCGCAAAGGTCAGGTTGAGCCGAAGCCAAGGCATGTCCACGGGAAACGAGAAAAGAGTCAGTATTGCTGAGTAAGGGATGGCGTTACTTTCCATGATGGTATCACCACTGTCCCATTCTTTCCCTGCATGTATGCACGCCCTCTCCCTCACGGTGTCACCCCTCGGGCCCTCTCTTACATGCTGAGACTCGATGTTAATTGGAACTCGGGGGCTTTTCTATCTCTCCAAACTGACGAAAAAACCCTTCAGGTAGCCCCTGCTGCAAGAAACACTTTGGCGCTGTCAACGACGCTCTGCTGAAACCTGGTCCAGTCCCTACCCAGCAGCGTACCCGCCTTGCTCGCGTCAAACCCCCAAGTCATGTCCGGATACGTCTCTCCAAGATTGCCTTCACAAATTATGTCTCGCCTCTCCGGGAATCTTGCCCGCAGTACGTCGGCCATCCCCTGGGGTGATATGGGTGACTCTCCGACGAGCAGGTAACGCTCCCGGGCACGCGGCGTCTGATAGCCCCGCTCCACCGCTCTAAGAACCAGCTCGGCCACATCCCGTACGTCGATAAAGGTGCTCCTGATAGGGGAAAAATCTGGGATTTGGCCGCCATGTAAGATGTCGTAGATGTCCTTGACGCGCATGCTGAGGTTGGAAATTGGATCCGGGAGGTACAGCGGTGGCCCGAGAACGGGGCTTCATATTGTCAGTGACATATTGATGTGATGGGCCTAGAACAACTTACGCTGGGCACAGGGCTGCCATAGAAAACCCAGCTCCCGTGTCCTTTCCAAATTTCCAGAGCGCCCTCTCGGCAGCTGTCTTGCTCGCCTGGTAGATGACATAGCCGGGCGTGTTCTTACCCAACCTGCGCACTTCCTCTTCGGCGGCATCGTTCCAGTCGGCCTCGGTAAAGATGTGTCCCGAGGGCTTGGAGGGTGAGAAAACAGCACTGATAGTAGACATGAACACAACCGATTTCAGTACATCTTCTTGGGACCCTTTCTTCGATTCGGCCAAAGCGGAGGCGAGAAGGGAGGTTGTGCCTTGAACGGAAGCCCGCATCATAGGCTCTGGATCGGTCTCAGCCATGGATACGGGACTCGCAAGGTGTGCTATTGCCTGGACGCCTTCCCTTAGAATAAAAGCAATCAGCACAACTGTACGTAAAACCGGCTGAGCCACTAAGATAGAAAGTGACCCGTGGCCCAGGGGAGTGAGCACTGAGAACCTTCAACAGCGCGGGCAAACGCCCCGTCGGCGCTGATGTCTGGCACCTCGACCAGCTCCAACCGGTTTTCATGGTAACAACTTTCAAGGGTACGAACAAGCGACTCGACGTTGGGAGTCCTTGCACGAACAGTTCCCCGAACGGCGTACCCAGCTTTGAGGAAGGTGGCCGCCGTGTGCGCCGCGATGTAACCGTTGATGCCGGTGATAAGGACTAGACGCTGGCTTGCCATATTTTGTATCTCGGGGGTTCTATTGCACTGAACTTAAATTATAAAATTGCATAAAACAGAGTGGTCTCGCGAACCGGCGAGATGGCTCAAGGTGTTGTTTTGTTGACTCCGAAATCGCTGCCGAGACATGTTATCAATGCGCCCTTCGTTTAAGGGAAAGCCGCAGGAAACCGCCCCTTTCCCTCTATTAGTGTTACCAATCACAGCTTGACATTCCTTAAACGCCGTATGCCCTCTCTCTCTCGTATCCAAAAGAAGGTCGATATCTAACAGACTGACTCGGTGCGGACTACTGAGTTGGGAGTTCTCGGGTAATTACTTTCAAATTTGCTTTGGTTTGAATATTACATTGAAAGTTCGAAACCCATAACTACACAGGATGTGGCAGGAAAGTATATCACTTCATCCTGTTCCTTCCCCGAGTCGTTCCCTCCCCATCAACTAATTCAACTGACATGCATTCTCTTGCTTGCTGGTCTGACTCCTGCTTTCAAAATCCCGGTTCCGGGTTTTCATTTAATCTGACTACATCAGAACTCAAACCACAATTACCACACCACCGGCACCGGGCTCTTCAGGAACCCCTTAAGCGGCGTCGTCCCGTTAAAGTCCCTCCCGATCGCCTGCACGAAAGCCTGAGCAACGAGGTCTGCACCGGCGGGGCTGGTGTGCGTGTGGTCCTGCGGGAACAGCGCGTTGGTCTTTGCGCTGCCCAGCTTCAGGAACATGTTGGCCACAGCCTGGAAATGGTCGAGGAAGCTGGCTCCGTTCCCAACGTTCTTGGCCGCGAGCGCTGCGTAGCCCACAAACCGCGGCGCGCCGGGAATGAAGGTGCCGCCCTCGAACAGGTTGTTGGGCGTCTGGCTGCTAACGATGACCTTGGCGCCCTTGGCGATGTAGCTGCGCGCAGCTGTCTCGACGTAGTGGTTGAAGGTGTAGACCGTCTCGCCCGTCTTGCCCGACTTGCACACCTCGTTGCCCGTGCCAGGGCAGTCGCTACGACCGTTGTCCGACGCCGAGTTGGGCGACCCGCCGTCGTTGTGCCCGAATTCGATGACGACGATGTCGTCGCGCTGCACCAGCTTCTCGATCTCGCTGAACCGCCCTTCGTTGGTGTAGCTGCGCGCCGACCGCCCCGAAATGGCCTTGTTCACCACGGGCAGCGTGATGTACTTGGAGAGATACTCGCCCCAGCCTGCTGCCGGTCAGTTCACGGGTTCACGTCATAAGAGGGGTGCGGCTAACCCATGAGAGCACCGCTAGTCTTAGCCATGGTGCTGTCTCCGGCGAGGTAGACCGTCGGTGTCGCCCGCCGGGCCACCTCAACGGGTGCGGAGTAAGCTCCCGAGGCGGCGAGCCCGGTTGCGAGGAAGGTCGACCAAGACAACATTGTGATTTCCGTTGTGATGCTGTTACCGTAATGCTAAGGCTGATCCGAAACTGCAGTGATGTGTGCTGGCGTTCAACCGTTCCGGGTTTGAATTCAAGCTGGCTCCAGGTTGACTCTAAAAGATCAACACCTCAACGAAACAAATCAGATCGGCGCATATCTAGATCCTAGGCTTAGTTCATATTAATACCCGTAGTAACGGCCATGTTGACTCCGCACTCGCGCCTGCCACCATATTACGGTGTTTCGCGGCTAAAGGTACCGAGGCTCGAGTCTACACGGTGGTCCATGGTCCGGGTTTTCGTTAGAAGTTACCTACCAAGTCAGAAACCCCGAGACCCTGACGTTTCGGCATTGGAGGAAAAACAGAGGCATAGTAGCATCCGGTTTATAACTTCCCCACTGTCGCAACAATTCAGGGGCCGAGCCACGGACGAGCGGGACGAATTCAGCGTGCCGCGACAACGAGACAGGTGGAAGCCGCTTACTTCTGGTACAGTGCCAGTAAGGGGCCAGAGTCGGTTGGAGATCCGCACCAATCGGCCGTTATGCACTCCAGTTTCCGCAGCGGACAGTTCCATGTTGTTGCGGCATTGGGTTATAATCCTCGGCCTCCCGTTATTATTGAGACCATGCTTTTATTTGGGTTACTCCGCTAATCAAGCCAAAGATGTAGTCAAGCCAGGTAGGGTATTAATTATTGATAGCTTCAACCATATCTATGATATTCGCCGCTCTTCCACTCGCAACCTCAAGAAAAAATGCATCACTGAAACCACTTCCCTTCAGATTCAGCTCAACGTTACGCACTAGATGGTCATGACCGCTAATCTAGCGCCCCATTCCCCTTTTCTATTCGCCCCGAGTTCCCAGGTCTTTCCACGCAACAGCCGGACTGGAAGACGGTCATAAAGCCAACCCCGGAATGGTATCAATCATCTTTGGCCAGTACCGTTAACCCAGAACCAGGGTAGCGTCTCGTCCGCGAACCCCCTTACTCCCGATAGCCGGCTACGTGAAGTGAGCCTAGTGAAAAATAAAAATGAGCCAGCCACCGGGGCGAGAGCCACTTCGTTTAAAAGAATCCACCGCAGAGACGGCAGCGGACAGAACCATTGCGGGTCCGTCTTCAGCACCCAGTAACCTCCCATGTTTGACGTCAGGCCCAATGCCGCCACGGTTGTGTCGCGTTACCCCTTCTATAACAACCCACACCCTCTCCCCATCATTCCTTGGTATATCTTGAACGCTCACTCCATCGCTTCGCCCGCTCGTCCCACCGAAAAGTCCAACCCCATCACTCGACCTGTTTGTCACACCCGATGCGACCCAGGAGCTCCTTACGGTCGCTGTGCCCGGGCAGGCTGACGCCCGAGGTGGAGGGGCCCTGGCGCTTGACGCCCGACCTGCGCTCCCAGCTCTTGAGATCGATCTCGTCGACCCCGACCTCCTCCTCGAGGGGCTTGGCCTCCTCGTAGACAAACTCGTCCTCGTCCTCGACCTCGGCGCCCTCGTCGTCGCTGCGCACGTCCTCGGCGGGGGCGCCCTTGATGACCTTGATCGCGACGCGGACGATCAAAAAGAACCACATGATGGTCAGGCACTGCAGGAACAGCAGCATGGACAGGAACGACCACTTGACCGTCTCGTTGTAGCAGAAGGTGCCCTCCGAGTCCCACAGCGGCTCGAGCAGGTACGAGAACCCTTGTTCGGTGGGGGGGTCGAACGGTCCCACGAGGTTGTCGCGCGAGCCCTTGAAGCAGCCCGTCGGCATGATGTCGGGCGTGTGCGCCCACACCGAGTAGCACACGGCCAGGTACAGAAAGTGGCGCGCAGCCAGCCACGAAGCCATGAAGACGCCGAACATGACGTCGCAGATAGTGTGGTAGCCGAGGTACTTGAGGCACTTGGCAAGCTGTAGAACGTGAAAACCATATGTGGTTAGCAAATGAGACGGGTGTGGTGAGGGGCTTTTAAATATGGTGATGCACGTACCCCCAGGGCTAGGTCGGACACGTCCATCAAGACAAGAATGAGGTTGCCCACGCGTGTGTGGCCGTAGCGGTACGAGGTGTAGATGAGGACGCTCGTGACGATGTGGTGAGTGAACATTTGCCAGTGGTCTTTCCTGCGCTCCTCGATGTTGATGACAACCATCTGCTGCAGCCAGAAACCGAGCTGCGCGAGCATGTAGCCCTTCATGAGCCCGGTCAGCTCGCGGTCGGGCCACCCCGTCCACAGCTCTCGCAGGTTGAAGTAGGCGGGCGATTGATAGTAGATGTACTGGGCAGGACCCTGTTAGTGACGCCCGATAGGAAGCAGCGGGCGTGGTGGGCCTAAACGTACCAAGCCGAGGGGCCAGAAGAATGAGTAGTAGACTGACATCCACGCCTGTTCGCTAAACCGAGTAATGTCCTTCCTCTTAGAGATGCCCTGAGACTTGGCGAACGGCGCCAGGATGTACTCCATGGTCGCGGCGCGCAAGCCGGTCAGGAGGACGATGCTGAACAAGACGACATGGCCATCCGCCCAGCCCAGCCCATAGTTCCCGGTGCTCGGGTTGTAGTATGAGAGGTTGAAGTATTTGGCCGTGTAATCCCGCGCCCGGGGCATGCCATGGGCGAGAAAGAGAAGGGCGAGAAGGTTGAAGGAGAAGCCTGCGGGAGCGAGGTCGAGGTTAGTTCCAAGTTCTGGGGGCGTGGAAGAATAGGGGGTCCCGACGCACCAATCTGGTTGTTGACAAACCAGCGGGTGAGCTGCTTCATGGGGCCTTCGTTCTTCCTCTTGACTCTGCGGACGAGGACGACATTGCTGTTCGCCTGTTTATAGAGCGGCCCGTTCATGTGCTGGGGCTTCCCACTCCTCCTCGGGGCGCGACCCGAGGGCTTCGCCGTGCCGTTGCCCGTGCCGTTGCTGTTGCCATGGCTTAGGGTTGGGGTCGTCGGGGGGCTCATGGTCGCCTCGTCCTGTAAACTGGCAAGGCGCCAGTCGGTCGTGTGCCGGTAAGAACAGTGGACGATTGTTGGGCAACGACGTCCTTCGAGGTTTCGAGGTTTGGGCCCTTTGAGGGGGCGTGTGGACTGGACCAGGGGGAGTCTGCAGGACTCGGGCTGCTTCTGCGGGCTGACGCGGCGAAGCGACTGTGTAATTTTCCAGTCGTCCCGCTGTGTTTTCTCAAAGAAGGTCCTTAAAAGCAAGATGCGCCTTGATAACGGGTGTGCGCGGTGCCACAACGCCAGACTTTCATCGACCTCGATGGGACACGGAGACGGAAAACGAGCGACAGGAGGTGGACAAGGGCATCGGGTTCGGCTGCTCCACCCGCCTGGTTGGCAGTTTGCCCATTTGCCCAAACCAAAATGTTGAATTTGGAGGCTGGCCCCACTGAAGATCGAGGCGCACAACAAAGGCGGTGGGCAAGTCACACTGCAGCTGCCAGGTTCCTGACCTTATGGCGCCAGGGATTCATCCCAATTGAAACGCGGGATTGGACGAACCAGGGGTAGCACGGGCCCTGAACCAGACGAGAGCAAGCTCGCCTTTCTTGAGCTTATCACTGGCTGGGACTCTTTCAGGGTTGTCACGGCCAGTAAAAAAAATATTCGAGACCATCGGGAGTGCTCCGGAAATCTCAGGATGGCCTGAACATGCAAGAGCCACCAAAGGCTGGTCGCTACCTCATTCTGGGGATTCTCCGCTAAATACGAGTTGGCGCCCGACCCGGTAATGAGATGCAGAGTGGCACCATCGGGTCACCAACCTTCCTAATTCCTTCTTGGAAGTGCTGCAGAGTCGAAGCGGAGAGAGATGGACTGGTCCGAGACCATCCCCGCCTTTTCCCTTTCCTGGCGTCGGCGGGGTCCCTGCTGAGACCCTCTGGAACAAGGCGACGCTGCATTTGATCAGCCTCCAAGCGGGCGGTCGGCCTGCAGCTGCCAATGAGACACTGTTGTCACAACATGCTCTGTGTCCTGTGATATTTACGGTTGCAGCTTGTGAGGGGTAAACAGCAGAGCCGAAACCTCGTCTCGGCAACTGCACTGAAGTGCGAAGGAGTTGGGTAACTGTCGTTGAGATTGCGCAAGACAGGCGGACATGTTCAGCCCATGCCGCATCCATCCTTGGCGCGAGTGAGTGAGAGTTCAGGGTCGTTGCCAAGTTTCCAACAAGCATTCTTTTCCACCAGGCGACGATCATCATATATAACCCTAACCCCCGTAAGCCGGGGTTCTTCGCGTGGCGTTCAAGAGGTTGATTCTTGGCAGCCTTGCGCATTCAAGGTTTCGACTTCGTAGGGATCTTTCATCTCTCCAGCCTTACGGATTGGTATGTACTTGCCGTCCACCTTCCCTCCCCGCTCCTTTCCCTCATCACCACTCGCCGCCCGCCATGAATCAAATTCGCGCCATCCAGGCGCTTAACAAGCGCGAGATCGAAAACGGCGTGCCGCCCGAGGCCTCGTGGCATACCGACTACCGCGACACGGCCTTCGTCTACTTTGGCGGTCTGCCGTATGAGCTATCCGAAGGCGACGTCATCACCATCTTCAGTCAGTTTGGTGAGCCCGTGTTCCTCAAGCTGGCGCGCGACAAAGAAACGGGCCGGTCCAAGGGCTTCGGCTGGCTCAAGTACGAGGACCAGCGCAGCACCGACCTGGCCGTCGACAACCTAGGCGGCGCCGAGATCGGTGGCCGCATGGTGCGCGTCGACCACGCCCGCTACAAGCTGCGTGACGACGAGGACCCCGAAGAGTGCAAGATCGGCTGGGAGGACATGCTGCGCCGCGAGCGCGCCGAGAAGGGCCTGCCGAGTGGGGACGAGGACGAGACGGACGAGGAGGCGGCGGCAGCGGGGCAGCACACAATGCCGATGCTCAAGGAGGAGCGAGAGTTGCAGTTGTTAATACAAAATCATGACGACGACGATCCCATGAAGGAGTTTCTTATCGACGAGAAGAAGCAAGAAATCGAGGAGGCGCTGCGGCGGGAGAAGAGACGGTCGGAGAAAGAGAGCCGGAAAAATAGGGACAAGGACAGGCATCGGCACCGCTCGCATCGGTCACGAAGGGACGACAGCAACGACGAGGGCTATGGGAGAGACAGAGAAAAATACAGAGACAGAAGTGAGCGTGGGTCTGACCGGAAGTCGAGGTCAAAGAGGGATGAGATTCTTACCGAGGACGAACGAAGAAAACGCCGCCGGGATTCTCGGGACCGCAACCGTAGTCGAGAAAGCCGTGAGGACGGAGACCGAGAGAGAAACGGAGCTCGTCGCCATGGAGACGACCGAGACGATGATCGCCACAGGAAAGATCGTGATAGACATCGGCGGCACGCCCGGGAGAGCTCGCACGATCGCGGCGAGCGTCGACACCGGGCCTTGGAGGATAGAGGACGGCACGATAGGGAGAGAAGTCGAAGCCGCTCGCCGCGCCCCGTTAGGGACTAAGGGTGCTTGCTAAACAAGAAATTTGATTTTAATACGGGCATGCTTTTAGTGATGCGAAGCGGAATGGATTGGGAACGCTAAAATACTACTAGAGATACCCACCGACGAGAGAGAGAAAGAAATACCACATGAAGCAATAATTTACCCACTTGATGTATGCGAATACGTTCCCGACCTTGACCCAGTAATACTCCCGGTAAATATGCTTCGCAGAACGAATTCTTCCATCCCCGGAAACCAGATTCCATCCTTTCTCCATGACTCAAAACGCCAGACCACTCCAGGTGAACAAGCAAAGACAGGTGAGCTCACGCGCCAACAAGATACCGTTTCCACCCTTCCCTGACGCAGTACCGCTTCCCATCCCCGCCCTCCTGGATCCCGAACTTCTCCCAGCGCGCGTCCTTGCCCGCGCCCACAACTAGAACCGTGTTCTCACCCACCCACCCAAGCACTCCCTTGGGGGGCTTTGACGTCCCCAACGTTGTAGTTTCCGACACGGGCAATCCACTGGTCATCCCCTCGTTGGTGGTTTCCTCGTCGTCCACCTCGAACGGCGCCGATGCGAACGAGTAGACGTCCGAAAACATGCGCGGCATTAAGGGGATCTTGGAGAGAATACCCCATTTACCCGCTCCGTCGCCGCCATTGCTCTCTGACGTCGAGCCGCTGGTTGCACCGGAGACACCGCCATTTTGCAGTTGCTGCTGCTCCTGCTGCTGTTGCTGCCAAGAGGCCCGTTTCGGATGCGGGACGTCAAACACGTGCAAAGTGGACTTGTCCGAGGTGCAGGCGAGCATGGTGCCCGACGGGTTGAAGGCTAGGGAGAAGATGGTTGCCGGGTCGATTCCGCGACGTAGCTCTACCAGGCGGGCGCAATTGCTTGTCGCAAAAACGCGGATGAGGGTCCCCTGTTGATAGTATAAGCGCTACTGAAGTGAGTTCGGGGAATGCTAAGAGGGACTTACCTTCTCGCTCGCCGTAGCGAGGAGCTCACCATCCGGGCTCAGCTGGACCGCCTTGATGGCGGATGAGTGCGCAGGAATGATACTGACATTCCCCGTTGCGATCTCGACTAGCTGTACATGTCCCACCGTTCTTCCGGGGAAGGCTATCCTCTTCGGGGAGAGGCAACACAACCCCCACGGATTGTTGGCCGTCTCGTAGGCCGACTGCAAGTTGGGCGGCTTGGCAAATTTGTAGACACGCACGCTGTTCTGCAGTACGACCACAATGTGCTCCTTAGACAGCTGGACGCCCCGTACTGGAGTCAGGGCGCTGATCTCGAGCGCCGCCTTGTTTTTTAAGTCGTCCCAGAGGACGAGCTAGATTTTGAGTTAGTTCCTGCCATTCAACATAGAAGCGACAAGGGCTTGCCTTGTTTGCGGCGAACTTAGGCTGCCTTCCGCCGCCGACAAGACCTATGTAATTTGCTTTGCCCATCATCTGGACCAGCCCTACACCGGCGTTGAAGACTGTTGGCGAGTCAGTGGTTGTTGGTTAGCGAGGCGGGGGAGGGGGAATTGTCCTCGGCTTACCTCGTGTCGTGCGTCGAGCACATGTTTCTGCATGGAAAACTGTCGTCGTGAGCTGGGTATTAGGACATGAGGGATAGAGAAAAAGGGACGGTGGGTTGAGGCGTTCATCGTAAGCCAGCCCCTGTGTGGGGCCGGGATCGGATACTGCGGGAGACTTACTACAGAATCCCGTATTCAGGCCCACGGCGAAGCAACTGCAATCATCGTTGAATGAGATGGAGAGGACAACCGTTGAGCTAGGACTTTCAAGAGGGGTTCGTGTGTTCATTTTGTCGGTCTGTAGTGGTGGTTTTGTTTAACGAGTGTGGTTGGAGAGATGGCGGTAGCCTTGCGTGGGCATACCAAACAGCCGGGCCTTGCTTGTTATGGAAGCGAGGGGGCTGCGATTCTGGCGAGCGGCAAAGGGCTCTTCCGACTCCGGTGATTTTGAGGGGAAGTGAAATCGATATTACGAGTTCATCTCAAGATGACGCTAGAAAAGGTTTGATGGCAAGGGGTTCCGGGCTGGGGTGGATGGATGTGTCCAAGGCTGTTTGTTTGACGATGGCCGCCTGCAAGGAGACTGAATGGTACGAATGGTATGGATGATGGATCTGAGACAACAATGCTGCAAAGGAGAAAGCAGCGTTCCAAGCGATTGCGAAGTGAAAATGCTAGTCAAAAAACTGCTTCATAGCTCCTGAGCTTACAAGCATATTTTGGAGGATAGGACGGTGTGGTAGGTGTTGGATCTTAGCCCCCTCCAGACCCAAGGCCTGTGTAGGTTGTCACGAGTTGCCTGGCTGCAGCTCATACAAGGCGTTTTGTTGGTGACGGGGAACTGCCGTGCTGCTGGAGGGAGTGCTAGAGCCGCAGCACGGACCACTTACGCTTCCCCGGAAACTTACCTTGGGCAATTGTCGACAGCTGGCTGGAAAGTTATCGTGGTGGAGCTGCGTATTGGCAGTCGGCTCGGGCTTGGCTGCTTGGGTGCTTGGGCCTGGGGGATTGGAGCATGCGTTTCCGCATTTGGTTCTAGCGCACCCTGCACTGAGCAACCCCTGAATTGCGGGTTGGCCATTGCTGCTGCTCTGGGCGACAGCTCGAAGGTGCTGCTCCTGCCGTCCAGTAGCACCGCAACATTTTGTGAAATTACCATTTTCCGACAACGCCCATTCCCGACCTCTCTCCTTTTCCCAACCTGCAACTGCTGTCGCTCGTGTTTGACGACTGCACCCGCAACCACCTCCCCGACCATCGACTTATTGGACACTGGATAGAGCCATTTAGCTTTATCTTCCCTGTTGCTTCTCTCAAGCCGGCGCTAGTCTTGCCCGTGCCCCAAAAACGCGACTCGACTCCCCCACGACTCCACACCAATATCATGTCTTCTCCGGCCGTACGTCTACCTTTCCCTGTCTTCCCAGCGCCGTCGTGATATTTGCCATTTCGACCTCTGTTCCCCGTTTCAATCCAACCATCCGTTTTTCCGCGACCACGACTTGCTCAAACGCGCCCGTCATCAACGACCGATTTTGGTGCAACCCGAACAACGGTGCTAACATGTTTACGGCACAGAAGATGATCCGTCGGAAGAAGAATGTGAAGAAGGGGATCCAGTTCTGCCTGATGGTCTGTGGCGCCTCGGGCACTGGTAAGTGGCTTTGTCAACCCTACTTCAACGCGCGGCCCGCACTAATCATTGATGGTTCCCGCAGGACGAACCACCTTCGTCAACACTCTCTGCGGCAAGCCCGTCCTCTCTCACAAAGAGTCCGATGACGCTGGCGCCGCCCACGTCGAGGAAGGGGTTAAAATCAAGCCCGTGACTGTCGGTACGCATATCCCCATATTATTAAAAGAGCTGTCATTCGATGGATGCCTAACCGGTCGCAGAGCTCGAGCTGGACGAGGAGGGCACGCGTATCTCTTTGACCATTGTCGACACCCCTGGCTTCGGTGACCAGATCGACAATGAGGCCAGGTACGGGTTAAACAACATTCCCTATCGCTTGCTGGGATGGGGCGCTGACATGTCTTCCCCGCAGCTTCTCCGAGATCGTTGGCTACCTGGAGAGGCAATACGATGACATTCTCGCCGAGGAATCGCGTATCAAGCGTAACCCCCGTTTCAGAGACAATCGTGTCCACGCCATGCTCTACTTCATCACCCCCACCGGTCATGGGTAATTGCCCTTGTTGCACCCGTAATGTTCAAGATGCTAACCTTGCCACAGTCTCCGTGAGCTTGACATTGAGTTGATGAAGCGCCTTGCGCCCCGCGTCAACGTCATCCCCGTCATCGGCCGAGCCGACTCCCTCACCCCGTCTGAGCTTGCCGAGTCCAAGAAGTTGGTGATGGAGGATATCGAGCATTACCGGATCCCTGTCTACAACTTCCCTTACGACATTGAGGAGGACGACGAGGACACCGTCGAGGAGAACGCCGAGCTTAGGGGGCTGATGCCGTTTGCTATCGTGGGATCGGAGGACGTGGTCGAAATTGGTGGCCGTCAGGTGCGCGCCCGTCAGTACCCGTGGGGCGTCGTCGAGGTTGACAACCCGCGCCACTCCGACTTTTTGGCTATCCGGTCTGCCCTGCTTCACAGCCATCTTGCCGACCTGAAGGAGATCACCCACGACTTTCTCTACGAGAACTACCGTACCGAGAAGCTTAGCAAGAGTGTCGAGGGCGGTGCTGGAGTGTACGTTTTCCACAACCTTTTGAATCTTGGCCGGGTTCGTTGTTGCTAATATGGTTTCTAGCGATTCGTCCATGAACCCCGAGGATCTCGCTTCGCAGTCTGTTCGCCTCAAGGAGGAGCAGCTTCGGCGCGAGGAGGAGAAGCTTCGTGAGATTGAAGTCAAGGTCCAGCGTGAGATCAACGAGAAGCGCCAGGAGCTGCTGGCTCGTGAGTCTCAGCTGCGCGAAATCGAGGCTCGGATGCAGCGCGAGGCGGCAGCGGCTGCGGCCCAACAGTCCGGGGCCGCTGACCACGGGGCCAATGGCGCCGAGTAGATTTGAAGCGCTTTCCCCCCTGGTTATCTGGTGGCAGGCTAATATCCCGTCATTGCGACCCCCGCCGGATATGGCCGATGTTTGACCACTGCTAGGCGACCTTTCATGCGATCCGATCTTTCCGTGCAGGCGTTGGTTCCCTGTTGTTTAGAGACAAAATATTCCCCCGCCTTTCCTGCGCTTTTCACGATATCCACTGCTCGGCCAACCCCAGGCTGTGGGCAACACCTGGGGACGGCTGGCAGGGTGGTGTCGAGGTGCCAATCGGAGTGGTGTGTTGATGGACTGCTGAGGACGAGGCTCAGTAGAGGTCACCAAAGGTCTGGTTATCTGGCTGGGCGCAGGAGCCATGGTTCCCACCAAACACGGTCCCAGACCACGAAGATGAGCCGTTGGAAGGGATGGGACTCAACCACGGCACGCTTTTCTTGTCTTCCATCAGCCACGCCATCTCGTCGGTCCTAACCTCGGCCGCCCTTTTAACTTGACTGTCTGCTTTTTTCTCATTTCTACTATTGGACTTCTAATGCAGATATCACCTAAATTCAACTTTCCTACTCTGATACTGCTCCCATGTCCGCCACTTCTCTGGATTTCTTTGCCTGTGGGATGCGCCTTAGCTTGGCTCGACGTTGGTGTAATACAGAACTCGACTGAACGAACAAAAGAGTCCAAGATGGGATGGAAAGGAGGCGGGAGGAACAACTACCGTTGTACTTAACGACATGATGTTACTCGAACTTGTCTTTATTGTATCCTATCTAGGCATAGATACCACGAGTATGGACGCCGATGTGCAAAGGATTCGATTCATTCAAAACTCTTCCTAACAGGAGTAACCGCATCGTGGCAGCAGGTCTCCTCCATACCGGGGAAGGAATTGTGACACGCAGCAAAAAACAACAAGAAAGGAGAAAAGTAGGAAAACAGAAAAGCTCGAACCCAGTCCCCGCAAAATCCTTACCACGGTCGCTGCAAAAAACGATAAACCCCTTCCCCCAAACCCAAGATACTGTACAGTTTCACACGACGTATCAACATTACCATGTCCGCGACAGAAGAATCTCTCCCACCCTAGACTGCCCCAACGAACCCCCTTCGCTTAGTTGTTACTCTGGCTGTTGAGGATGCGCAGGATGGCTAGGAACAGGTTGATAATATCCAGGTACAAGCTGATAGCGGCGGCGATCTCCTCCTCGACGTGGTGCTTGCGCAGGACGAGCTGGGTGTCGACCAGCACGTAGCCGCTGAAGATGAGGGCGGTGAGCAGGCCGTACACGAGCTCGGTCGTGCTGGTGTGCGGGAGGAAGAAGGACATGAAACCGAAGATGACCAGGCCCCACAGCGCGCCGAACAGGTAGGGCATCCAGCTCGTGAAGTCGTACTTGGTCTGGCAGGCGAAGGCCGTGAGGAAGAGGAAGATGCCGGCCGTCAAAAAGACGGCGTTGAGCACGATCGAGGCGCTGTAGAAGGATACGATTACGCTAATGGTGTAGGCTTCGAGAAGGGTGAAGGCCGAAAGGAAGAGGAGGTTCGTGGGGTACGAGTGGCGTTTCCAGTATGTGAGCATCATGCAGGCCATGGAACCAAAGAGCTGTGGTGGGATAGAGTTAGTTGACATGGGCTTGGGAGAGGCGGGCGAAGAGGGGGGACAGAGGCGGACGTACCGAAACCCAAACGATGGCGGGATGCGACTGGATCCATGACTTGTAGCTGTCGCTCATGAAGCTGAGCGCGCTGACGGCGCCGGTGGCGATGAGCTGGACGGTCAGGATAGTGTAGACCTTGCGGATAAACTGATTGCGAATCTCGACGGTGGCTTCGGCGACAGAGCCTCCAAACTGAGAAAAGACGATCAGCAAAACTCATAACTGGATGGGGCGCTCTGTGGCATCATGGCGGGCACATACCTTGAAATCATCGGGGACGTTGTCCTCGCTGTTCCGCGGAGACCCAAACAAGCGCTCCTGGTCCTGGGCAGAGCTGCTCTCAGCCTGGTATGACGGGGGCGGCTGAGTGTAGTTGAGCTCGGGGTCCTCTTGCGGAGCGGGCGTGTACTTGACGTTGGTCGACATGGTCGCTAATGGCTGCGATCGTCGTCGCTAGGGAACGCGCGGGTTTATGCCAGACAAGATCGGTCCTGTTGGTGATGTGATCGGGGGCCGGGTTTATTAAACGGAGGAAGACGAAGGAAAGTGGCGGACGAGGCTGGCCCTGATATGGAACCCGCGATGACGACCACTGGTGAATGGTGAATGAAGATGCCCGGAACAAACGAACCGACAAACGGCAGGTGGGGATACCTGCTCACTGGTGGCGGAGCTGTGGCCACCTGCCCGAGACCGGCACGTGGTTGGTTGGCTGGAAGCTGGAGATGCCTGGAGCTGCAGTGCCAAGCATTCTGTTGCACATATGCACTTAAGTCATGTATGTACGTATATGCACTAAGAGTCGAGGTGATCAGGGGTTAGGGTTATGGATACCATTGGACCCCTGCCTTCCTCCCGCAGCTCTCCACCAGTCGTCGGTGATTTGGAACATCAGTCGCGTCTCTCCGCCCACCTCACCGGCGAATCGTGTTTCGGCGAATTGACGGTCCACACCAGTCACCAGCCAGCAACCGGAAAGGGAACGACTCCTGAACGGGCCGTAGTCGGAGGGAGGCATGAAACCGACGAGACGACACGGCTAGTTGTTTACTTTACTTTCCCCCCGATTCATTGCTCCCCGCTTGCGACTCCTTACCTCCAACAGTCAAAAAAGAAAGCCGCAAATGCCCAAGACTGCAACTCACTCCTGAGCGAGCGCAGTCATGGCGGCAAATACGAACCGCTATTCGACCTACACCACAGCTTCGGTCGGCTCTGGTACCGACTCTAAGAATGGGGATAAAGCTGAAAAGAAGGAGCTATGGAACTCCATGCTCTCGTCCGTGGCAAGCGGGAGACGGCTGCCGGAGAAGAACATAATATTGCTGGGTGGCACCGTCGACTCCCAGCGCGAGTTTTTCGAGACCCTCGCCAACAACGACCTCCGCCGCACCCTTGACCGGAACGCATCACGAATGCCCCCTGTCGCAAACAGCTTTGCCTTGGGATACACATACTACGATGTCCTCGACGCCGACCAGGAGGACACCCTCGCGCGCATCTCCCTTTACACCCTCACGAGCCCTTCCGCCGCCTTCGCTTCCCTACTCCGGCCGCTCTTAACGCCCCAATCGATACCAAACACGCTGATAGTGGTGTTGCTGGACTGGTCCGAGCCGTGGAAGTGGATGCGACAGCTTCGGGAATGGATTCTGCTTCTGAGGACGGTGCTGGTCTCTTTGAGCGACGAGTGCGAGGAGACCATGAAAGAGGTCATGCTGGCATGGCGAGATCGCGGGCGAGGTGGCGTGACAAACCTCGACGGTACTGCGGCCGTACCCACGGCAGACGGCGAGATGGACCTTCCCGTGGGACCAGGAGAATGGACAGATGAGTTGGGGTTGCCCCTCTGTGTTGTGTGCCAGAATGTAAGTCTATACTTCGCGCAAGGGACCCTGGCTCGAAGATTAACCGGATTTGCAGGCCGAGAAGATGGAGTATTTGGAGAAGACACAGAGCTGGAAGGAGGAAGAGTTCGACGTTGTCTTGCAATTTCTACGGACAACCTTGTTAAGGCGTGAGTTTCCCATAAGAACGAGGGAGCTGTACGCTGACTCGACATGCCGCAGACGGTGCCTCTTTAATCTACACCACGCCCTCTGTCCCCTCCCAGCTCCCAACGCTTATCCACTCTAGCTTGGGGATACATTCCCTTCTCAAGAAGCAACCACTCAAGCACAACGTCATCGACCGGGATAAGGTTGTAATCCCGCCAAACTGGGACTCGTGGGGCAAGATTCGGGTCCTCAGAGACGGATTTGACGTCGACCTCGTGAGCAACGGCTGGTCGATCGACCTCGATCAACCCTTCCCACGCCCACAATCAAACGGAAGTGAAAACGGAATTGAGGACGGAAATGGAGAGGTAGATGACGACAACGAGCACGTAGCGGACGAACCGGAAGGATCAACCGTCGCTCTCTACGAAGAGTCAGTTCAAGACCCGAGCATGGACGCCCTCCAGCTCGCGGGGCGTGACACCCATTCGACTGCGCTCGAGGTCGAGACGATCGACACCCAGACCTTTCTCGGGCAGCAACTCAAGGTCCTTGACGCGTTCAAGCAGAAGAACGAGGAGACCGCGCGGGAAGAGTCCCGGCAAAAACCCCATAAGAAGATGGACGCCGACCTTGTTATTGACGACGACCAGAAAGCAGATGCAAGGGTTCTCGAGCACATCGGGCCCGTGCAATTCAACATGGGTGGTATCCAGGTGGACGCCGACGACATGGTACAGCGACTTAAGGTGAGAATCTTTCTCCTCCAGGCCCCCTCCCCCTTAATCACGGTCTTGCTCAGAACTGACACCATTGTTCCAGGAGCGCCAAGCGTTCGGCTCGTCCTCCCAGCCTGAGAGCCCAACCGACGAGGAAGCCATAGATTCGACCTCACACATGGACACGGAGAACCTGCAGGCTTTCTTCCACGGCCTAATGAACAGGCGGGGAGCGCCTGCCAGATAAGATTTGGTGCTGTAGCTTTAGCATTAGCTGTTGATGAGCAGCACATAGGCAACCCCGCCAAAAATTCCCCTTTATTATTATGGTAACCACAAGTACATGGGTGGATGTGGACCACCGAGGAGGTACCCAGTGTATTGTCATGTTGGTCTTCCTGTTGTCGTCGGTGTTAGGCAAAGAGGCGACAAACACCGATATCGTAGACTAGATACCCCCTTTGGAGAGATAATGAAAGATAAAAGAATGGAACAGTCGGACTGTTCCCTCGTCAAATCCAACCTCATGGCTGTATGGCGAAGCAAGGCTGTGTAGGTAACTACATAGGTCTGTCTAGTTACATTGCCTGTGATGCAAGCTCCCTTCTTCCTGTATGCGGTCATCGTGTATCTCGCGCGCAACCCAATGCAAATAATCCTAGGCCAACCATATTCCATCCCGCCTTAGCCCCAGACACTCATGAAGATGTACCATCACTCCGAGCCGCATCCTTGCCCCAGCCGATTATATATATGGCTCCGCTCCATCATGAGCGCTCTCCGACCACCAGCTCTTCCACCTTCTTTATCAGCCCCTCGGTAGTAGTCATGCTCTCCTCGCTCCTGGCAGTATCTTCAGCAAGCTCCAACACAAAGGCTTCCGCCCTTGGCGCGGTATACCATTTCCGCAACCCGCCCGCATCCCCCTTCCGCACCTCCACCCTCTTAACCCCTAGCCGCGCCGTGACAACACCCATCAGCAGGCTGACAAACAGCCAGGGGTACTGGAGGATCTCTGCCTCGAAAGCGTTGACCGTTTCGCGAGCCTGCAGCACATACGCTTCCGTGTTCAAAAGCGTGCCCAGTCGGAAGAGGTTCGACGCCGATACGGCGTTGGTTGAGGGATGCGCCTTGTCCATGCCGCTCTTGAGACGGAGAATAGTGGGACTGAGGGTCGCCGACTCAGTGGAATAGAAGCCACCGGAGTGGGCATTTCGTGGGGAGGGGGTTGTAGTGGTGGCGGCAGGTGTAGAAAGGGGGGGGTCGTAAAAGAGGGCGGTTTGTGTATCTGTTTATTATCAGCACCCCGTCTTTCGGGGATCAGGCGGACAATGCATACCTTGTAGTTGTTTCGCCCAGTCCAGCCATTCATGCTCGAAGGTTGCCGTGTAGAGATCCAGGAGGCCATCGATTAGGAAGGCATAATCATCGGCAAAAGCGAGGACTTGGCTCGGACGTTCCCAATAGAAGCGACGCAAAGGGTTGTCGGACTTGCTCTTCGACTCAGCCCACAACTCCTCCTTGATAAAGGTGGCAGCGTCCCGTGCAGCTTGGAGGTATTTATCCGCCCTCTCGGCATCCAACCCACGAATGGCGGCCGCGGTCCTCGCCAGCGCCGCGATAGCTATACCATTGGTGCCAACCACAACCTTTTCATCCCGTATCGGGCGCACCCGTTCCTTCTCGCGGTGTACACGTAGCTTCTCGCGCGCGATCGAGACAAGGTGCTTGATTTCCGCCGGTGGGACGCCGAGCTGCTTGGATAGTTCGGTGGCATCCGCCTTGACAGATAGGATATTCTGGTTGATGAATTCGTCAAAGGGGTCCTGATCCTGCGGTACATTCCCGTCCTCCTGCACATCCCAATATGCCGCAGCGACGGTGCTCGCATGGTCGTCGCTAGACCCGCCGCCAACCACCTGGTCGAACTCCCTCCTTGTCCAGGTATAAAATGCACCTTCTCGCATGTGCTTGTCGCCCTTGCGGTAAAACGAGTCTGACGCCTCGCTGGCCACAAACCCCCCATTAGTAGTGTGCACCAGGGGACTGGTGAGGTAGTCGGCCACCTCTAAAACAACATCCGCAAACTCGTCATCGAGCGACAGCGCCTTCCCATCGTCTCGCGAATATCCTAGCCAGGCATCAAGGAAAACGCCTAACAACAGGGCATTCTCACCAACCATTTTCTCAAAATGGGGCATGCTCCAGTTGTTCGTCACACTAAATCGCATGAACCCGCCTCCGAGGTGGTCCCTCAGGCCACCGTCACGGATCCGCCTCAGCGTCTTAATTGCCATGCCGACCGCGCGCTCGGCCTCCTCCTCTCCAATGACATCCCTCACCTCCCCCGGGAACTGTGCCAGCCTCAGCAAGAATGATAGGCGTGCGGGATTCGGAAACTTGGGTGTGCCAAACCCGTATTCGACCGGGTCAAACATCTGTGATATCCTCCCGAGCGCCTCGTCCAACTGGTCGAGATCCAAGTCGCCCGAATCTGGGCTGACGGCCGACGCAGCATTCGGCGCACCACCGGGACCACCAGCAGCAACCTCGATCGTCGTGCCGGCGGCAAAGGTCCCCTCCTGCGCAAAATCTTGCAGCTTATGCAACATCTCAAACGCCTCCCGTCGGCACCGCTCCTCCTGCTCAACCCAGAAGTGGTGAATCTTCTTGGCGATGGCCAAGAAGTCATTGTACGACTCTTCACCCTCCCCCGCGCTAGATATGCCTCCCGTCCCGCTGCCACTGGCGGCCGCGGCAGCCGCAGCGGCGGTGCTATGATCGGTACCCGGGCCCGGCCAGTAGGTGCCACCAAAGATGGGATAGAGGTCAGGCGTGAGGAAGAGGTTGAGGGGCCAGCCGCCGGTGGCGTTGACGGCCTCGCTGTAGTTTTGGTAGATTGTGTCGAGGTCTGGGCGCTCTTCGCGGTCGATGAGGATGGGAATGAACGAGGCGTTAAGGAAGGATGCGACCGAGGGGTTCGAAAAGGAGTCCTGTGTTGTGAGGTGGCAGACTGGTGCCCAGGGCAGGTTTGGTTAGCGGGGAGTGGTGTTGGAGGTGTTGAGGAAGGGAAGGAGGGACTCACGGTGGTCTGCCTGGAAGCCGATATGCATGAATATCGGCTTGTTCTCGGCCGTGGCTCGGGTGAGCGTGTCTGCGTTAAGCATCTGCCATGCTACCGGAGTATCGGCGTGTCGTCGCACGTATGGGCTGTCGCTCTCGCTGGCACGGTTCTGGAGCTCTGGAAACGTGGAACTCCCGGTACCGGCCGCGCTGTGCTCGGGTTGCTGCTGAGGCTGCCCCTGTTTTAACTGCGCCCTCATCATCTTGGCTACCTATCTCAGGGTTGTCAAGATATGTCTAGGTAGATTGGTGGCCCGAGGTGGGAGTTATGTACGTCGATTTTTAGGTGTCGCGATGTAACTGCCCAGGCAGGTACCGTAGGTACGCAACACTGACTGAATGAAGGAAATGTGGGTGAATTGCGGGTGCAGTGCAGTGCGGGTGCACTGCGGGGTAACTTCACAAGCCTGGACGGTTCTGAAAACGCCCCAAGAAATGTGTTCTGGAGCCGGAGGTCGGGTTTGAGATGCAATGTTGGTGCTTGGTAGGTGTGATTGGACCTGCAGTCTCCCCGGTCGACTGGTTTTGGTTCCGGGTGGAGGGAGGTGATGAGGTTGGCTGGTCGGTCCCCTTCGGATGTTCCAGAGGTGAAGCTGCCGGGTCGAGCGGGGACTGGCATCCATGCTGCAGGGATATCCTGCTTGACCTGAAGGGGAAGCATCGGCCTGACGTCGTTTCTCCCGGCTTGCCGGTTGTAAGAGACGCGACGGCGAATTCCCAGGGTTAGGGACGGCAGTGACGACTACCCAAGCTGCCAAATATCCATCCCCAGTACCACTGCAAGGAAAGGGAACGAAACAACCTAACAGACACGAAGTCTCCAGATAGGTATCAATGTCAGCCGAGTTTCTTTATCAGCGTTTTCCTCTTTACACATCGAAGAGTGCCAGAGAACAAGAATAGCTACCTACCTGGGTAGGCAGCGTCGACCAGTCCAAGGCCGCCTCCAAGCCATGACAGGCCTAAATTGTTGACCTTGTTTGTATATTTTAGGGTTGATTAGTTAAAAATTTGGAAGGCAACTGACGTAAAAACAAACTAGGAAAGCAAGCCACAGTGCCCGTCCTGAATTAATGAAAAGGCCCCTCTGTATAACTCGCTGCTCCGTCCGGCGCCAACATACAATCTCAAAAGGAGTGCTCCGTATCCCGTTCCTGTACCCAATTTCCAAACCCAAAACAAACCCAGCCCAAGTCCGAAACCAAAACGCCAGTATCCATTACAGCAGAGGGCCCGGTAGCCGTGCTTGGGGTCAGGTAAGAGTGAAGCCCAACAACGCCTGGCCTGACCGCAGACCAGACACCTCAAAGAGAGGCAACGGCACGCTTGTTGTGTCTCTTGATCATGGCTTCCCAGGCGACAGGGGGCTGGTTCTTCGCCTTGCAATCGCCGCAGAGCAGCTGCCCGACACTGAGAGAGAAATATCAGTGGTTGCTCAAGATTGTGATGCTGGGGAGGCGGCGGGGTTCTCCACGCTCAGGGACCGTACTATTCAAAGTGTGTGATGTCGGGCTTGCATCGCTTGTGTGTAAGGGTGTAGACATCGCACCACCTCGACGCGATGAACCGGAAGTGCCCGCAGCAGTATTCCCGTTGGATAAAGGTGCACATGGTGTTCTTGAGGAAGCAGTGACAAGGTCGGCGGTGAGTTGGGCTCTTGTTCTCGACGAGTTAAGGGCAAGCGGTGGGTGGAGCACTGGAACTGACGCGGACACTCTTGACTGGCGGGAGGAAGACCCGCTGCTCTTGTACCCGAGAGGAGATCTCAGGGATATCAACAGAGGCAACGGTGTCTCACCTGCTCGGGCAAATCTCGACCTAGAAGCCCTCGCGTCTTGCCTCAATTTCTGGTTCTGGCGACTTGCAGTAAAACTAGAGACTCAGAGGGCGAATAAATGCCAGACGAGTCGCACCGAATCGAGAGTGGTCTCAGATCGGGGAATAAAACGCGGCGCAGGATATTCCAACCATTGAGTTGGAGCCACCTCCTGATACCGCGGAGGAGTCCAGAAGGAGTCAGACATGGGCTTGCCCAAAGCGGCGTCCCACCAGTCTTTTTGGCGGGGGGGCGCGCCATGAGGCGGTCGTTGGCTCCTGGGGGAAGGGGTCAGGGGGTTCAGGTGACCGTGGGGGAGAGGCCCGTAATTTGAACCCTTGCCGCTGGCCGACCTTGGCTGTATTTGCTTTTTTTTTGTTGGTCTGGTCTGCCGACATCCCGGGACCAAGGACTTGGGAGCGGCATTGGCCCGAAGGAGGGGGGCCCAGGCTCGTCAGGCAAGCTTTTTCGAAGGGCGGGAGAGGCACCCATCCGTAACCTTGGAACGAAAATCCGGGCCATCCCAGAATTCAAGCTTCTGCTTCATTTCCGTGCAGGTGGCCCCAGCGGTGCCCGTGCAAGCCGTGTAACAAACACGCCGAGAGAGTGACGGTGTGCTCTGGATGATCAAAGTCTCAGCAGGGAGGGTGAAATGCCGTTCCACCGCCCACCTGACGCGCAGTGCGCGCTGGAGCACATTCTTGCGCAGATGTGAGCACTCGCATTTTTGAGAACCCAAGGGGGTAATGAGACCATTCCTAGGCGGCTGATGATCGTCGGAATGGCGGCCGCAACGAAACAAAAAGAAGAGTTTCTGTTGTCAACCTGTCTTGCCTGCCAACGAAACGAGCCAACCAAAACATGGAACGCAAGCCCAGACAATCCTGGACAAGCCCGAACAGGGCAGACGCTCCCTTGCTTTCCCCTCAAATCCAGGCCCAAAATGGCAGGGACCAACCCCTCATTGGGGCTGGGCCCCCACGAACGCCACGGCGTTCTCCCGCGGTCCAATTGCGTCTTGTCACAGCTTCTCATCCCGAATCGATCGCCATGACCAGAACCTTGGACCCCTGTTGGAATGCGGAAGCGAGATCAAAGCGAGATCACGCGCTCAGCCGGCTTGGAGTCGCTGCAATCAAGGTGTTCGTCTCGAGCCAAGCTGCAAAGCAAGGCGGAAAGGGTTCAACCGACCGTTCAGCTGAGAGAAGGTGCGTCAGTCTTGCAGCCGATTGTCTGGCTGTCTGGCTGTCTGCCTGCGGAACAAACACACAATGTGTGTGGTGTGAGAACGTCCTCATCTGGTAATCTCCACAGATCATCATGACTGCCGCGTGTCCGATGCAATGTCCTCTCCCTTGGTCCAAAATCAACAGGGTCCCTTCAATGGTTGGAATGAAGAGGCCCGGGATCTTGTGTATACCACGAAGCAACCCAGAAACTCTGCCGACTTGATACTTGCTAGCTGTTGCGACTGTTGAGCGGAATCGAGGGTAGCGAGCTTGGTGGAGGTACGTTTCATCATGGGGAGCAGTCGGCCAAACTCTCACTGATCCAGCGTCAAGTAACACAACCATTGCCATTGCCTATTGGGCACGTCGTGTTGTGTTTCGTGTCAAAGCGGAGCTTGTGGGCAACCAGATTCCAGCCGATTTCCGCTGCCGTCATTATTTTCTCGGGTGCTGGACCCGAGACAAGGATATCGTTGTTACACGCCGTGTAACACCACTCGGCTCTCCGAACCACCAGTTATCATGGGCGACAGAGATCGACATGCATGCCACAACAACCCGCTTTGCGGGCAGACGACTTGCCTCTCCCTCAACCTCTCCCTCAACTCACCCACGAACCCCTCCCGGCCGAAACACCCCCATGTTTCTCTCCTCGCCGGTCAGCTCCGGTCCAGCAGCAGCCCCATACATTCCGCCGCCTCCGTCTGCAGCATTTCAGCCGGACACGGTTCCTGAGGCCTGGATAAACGGTATTGACTAGGCAGAGCAGACATCCCTTTGGCACCAGCGCGCAGAGGGCCGTGGCCTGCTTCCAAAGTTGGGCCCGGCACCGGTGCCAACATGTCAACGCGGTCGAGATTACCGGACGTACCGACCTCAATCCTGCTGGTTTGGTTCACCTGCACCATTCGAGCCAGCGTGGCCACGGCTATGTCTAGCCAACTCGCTTTGACTCTGATGTTTTACTGGTCCGGCAGAATTCGATTTTGCATCATGCTCTCTGGACTTTGTGGGATGGTGGCTTGCGTGGCCGAGGTTTAGATGAATGCAACCAATGCTTTCTCCAGGACTGATTTTCTTCATTCCGTGGTTACTGGGGCGAGTCGAATGTGTGTGCCTACCAAGCAGCCCCCTGGTACGCTCTGACCTGACAACTCTGCTGCGGCCCTCAACTCTTGGTTCTTTTTGGTGGAGGGGTGCCACCGGCATAAATCTTGGGTTGACTTCGTTCCAGCCAAGTCACCGCCATGCGCCAGCTACTCGTCAGCGATGTCACAAGGCAATGTCACTGCAGTCAAGAACGAGCATTGTGTGTTAGGCTTGATTGACTTGTGCTATCAACAAAAAATAGATACTCGAGAGAAAAAGGAAAGGGAGAAAAAAGGGAGAGAAAAAAAAGAAAGAGAAGTGGACGGATCCGTCAACGGCCACCAAGCACCTCCCGCAGGCGATCAACTGTCCCGCCCCCGTTCAGCCCCCGGCATCCGTATGCCAGACCAAATCCGATTTTGGTTCCGCACCAGCCGCCTCCCAGAGAAGGAAACCAAGGGACCATCCATCCCCGAATTCCTGATTCTATGCAGTCAGATTTGCGGAGGATGAAAACGTAACCGCCGTGTCATCCTTTCCAGACTACCCAAAACCAGTTACCCGAGAAAGCAAGTCCGCCAATAGCCGGTCAGATATCGGGCCGCACTTAGCGGCACGAGCGCCAGGCAATGTTGACCTGCTGGGTGAAAGCGACGGTGGCATCGTCGTCGGTGATGAGACCGCTGGCGGACGAGTTGGTGCTGGTGAGGGCGATGCGGTTGTTGATGTTGAGGATGCCGTTGGCGCCGCAGGGCGAGAAGATGTAGCTGGCCGTCGGGATCTGGTCGGCCTTGGTGTACACCTGACCCTGCTCCCAGATGCCGCCGCCGGTGATGGAGGTCTGGGTGGTGGTCGTCGCCTGCGCGTCCTGGCTGAAGTAGTACGTGCTGTAGAAGTTGCCGGTGACGCCCTTCTCCAGTTGGGCGTAGCCGTGGTAGGTGCTCTCGAGGACGGAGAACTGGAAACCGCCGGGGTACTGTTTGGAAGAAGTGTTATTCAATGTCGTAATCAAGCCCGGTTCCGGGACGGAGGACTGTCGCTGTACCTTCAGGCTCAAGTGGAGCTGGCAGTTCTTGCTCTTCTCAATGGGGCTGATGCCGGGTCCGATGTAGGTCTGGAACTTGTCGAAGCCGAAGGTGATGACCTACCAGGATGGGTCAGTATCCGTTGGGCCAGCGGGAGCTCGGCTCCTGGGGATGGGGATACTTACAGTCTTGTCGGGCGAGATGTTGGTGGAGACGCTGCCCTGGGGACAGCCGTTGCCGGAGAAGGTGGCGGCGACGATCTGGATGTCCTTCGGGTCCGGGGCATCGGCCCAGCCATCGTTGCCGACGACCTGAGCGATGGGGCTAGCGGCGACGAGCGCGGGAAGGAGGATAGCGACGGAACGCATATTGACTGACGAGGATCGAAGCGGACGATTTGAGACCTGAAGATCTGAAGAGAGGCGGGAGCTGAAGGCTGGAAAGCTGGAAGGCTGGAAGGCTGTTGTGCTGGTGGTGAGGGAGGAGAGAAGACCGTGTTGTCGATGGCGATGGCCTGTCTTTATATCCCTTTCTCACGTCCCGGTCTTCGACGTTCGGACTCTTCGTGATCCCCTCATCCACCCCGCCTCCTTCCATACTGACACCCAGGCGGCAGATTTTCCGGTCGCGCAGGCATTGTCGGCGGCCAGCGAGCCTCCTTGGCGTCCTCTAGTCTGGCGTCGTTAATTTGCATCTCCAGATTGATGCATCCGCCCTTCGGGACCCAGCGCCCTGCCCCCCGTCCTTGCCTCCGCGCTTCCAGAGTCGCTAGGGTTTGCATCCGGGGGTGTAAACAGTCACGTCGTGTCCGTTGGTTAGCTTGAGGCCGACGTCGTTCTCGCACGTTCTTCAGCCTTTCATGGTTCAGTGGTTCGCGGCAGGCCAAATTTACGGATGAAGTGAGGATAAATGAAACACATATTAAGACGGGACGTACAGCTCTTATGGGCTCGCCGCACAAGGTACCATCGATCCGACCAAGACTGCGCCGAGACCCAACTCGGTTCGTTTTCGGGGCTCGCTCGCTGACAAAAACCATTTACTTCCAGAGGCTGATGCTTTTTATAGAAACCCGTCTCCAGACTTTACCATGTCGACATCTGTGTCAATCGAATCGGGGCCTGTATTTGGCACTATCGGGTTTGCCGGGCGGTGAGCTGCACGTTGCATCGCACCTCGTTCCAGATCCAGTCGCCGTGTCGAGACGTCGTCGGCCAGGGAAGGGGCGAGGGGCGTGGCGATCTCCCTCCCCCCCCCCCCCCCAAGCCGTTCAGACCCGGCACAGCGGCAGCGACGACGTCAAACGCATCGACGGGGAAATTCTTGTGCTGATCCGTTCCTGCAACCCGGACCTGACAGCCCGCCAGGAACCGGTCCAGACTGAATGCCACCATTCTGTTCTGGGTGCACGGCTCCGTCAAGGATGCTATTTTTGTGGCAGAGCCAGAGGTCGTTGATTAAGCTTTAATTGGGGACCCACCGGGTGTTCCCTGGATCGCAACCTGGCGGACCCTGGATCGTGGCATGGTTGCATCTTGCTGCAGTCGGGGATAGCTGGGAATGCGAGTCAGCTGACCCGGCTTCATGAGGACCTAAAGGTTCCGCCCAGCCTGTCTTCGCCTCGGATCGCCATAGCCACTGAGCCGGTGCCGTTCGTACGAGCAGGCAAGGGATGGGACACATTGGGGGTCATTATTCCGCCATCGCTAACAGCACTGTCCCGATCGCGGCCTATCAGCACGCCGCTCACCTGTGCCATCCCGGGGCTTGCCTCGGTGTTTGCCCTCGGCTATCAACAATTGACCCGCCCTGCAGGATGAGAGCAAGAGGGTCGGGAAATGTCGGTGGTCACAGATACGAGCTTCTTTCGACGAACATGCCGGGAGGGGAAGTACCGCCACCTAGCCAGCACTTTTCCTCCTTCTCGGCCTGACGGTGCCAAAACTTCGTTCCATGAGGTATCACCGGTCCAGTGTAACGCCTCCGTCCCGATGATGGAAGACCGGGTCTGAACAACCTTGGGACGGACCCGTACAATGCCCCTGGTCCGGAGGAAACAGAGACAGGTTCGATGCAACATGGCTCAACCCGGAGCAGTCCTTGTGTGCATGTAACAGAACTCGGACCAATACGCCCCGTTCGGTCACGATGGGAGGCTGACGAGACGATGCCGATCCCGACATCAGCCGTCGAGAAGGTCCTTCGTCACTCAATGAGGAGCACCGCTTGGGCAACGGACGCCATCCCGAGCTGTTCCTGGACAAGGAGAATAAGGTACCCCGCATTTGTGCCAGCCAGGAAATCGGGTTCAGCCCCCAATTATCTCCTTCATTTCCCATGGGAAGCCTCATTGCTCTTGCAGCTGCAGTTGCAGTGGTATCAGCCACCTGCACGGTGCCGCTCTTGCTGCGACATGCCCGGGGCTATCCGCACGCATTGTAAGCAAGCCCGGTGTGACGTCTCGGTCCAACGTGCTCAAGGACCCCCGTATGACAGCTGCCTGCGATATATCACTGGTGCGCTTTCAGTACGGGGTTAATATCTTGTCCTGCCCTCCCCGCGCTTTTGGTGCTTCTGAGTCAACGTCACAAGACAAGAATAGCAACATCGGATATGAAGGTATGAGTCGACCGAGCAACGAACCGGGTACGATGAGGGGCAGAATCCTGGGATGTCCCGCAGCATCGCATGATGTACGGTCACTTGCTGCTGCTCTCTTGCTGTCTGTTTCAGTGTAACGGCATGCTAGTTCATGTTTGGAAACCAAGCTAGGGGAGGCAAGCTGGGAGCCTCGGGTTGGCCCAGACGGTATCCTCACAACCAACCCCCGCTGCACAGAAAAGCATCGGCATTGGCGTTGCTCTACACTTTTCCCTTTCACCCACTCGACAATTCCGTTCCTGAATCCAAGAACAGTAACACGGAACTAACACAAAGCCCAGCCCGCTGTGGGGAAATAGAATGAGAGGACGGACGCGGGCGGAAAACCGGAAAAATAGACACCCCTCCTCCACCCGTACCAAAGTTCTGCTACCCGCCGTTCCGTGATAGAGGCATGTGCGGTACAGAATGTGCTGCGCCATGATCTGCCCGTTCTCCCGTCAACCCCCAACAGATGCTAGCGCGCACCCAAAAGATTGGTACCGGGCGGCGCATGAGCTGGCCTTTTCGGCGGGCCCCGAGAAGGGTCTTCGGGAATGCGGAGAATGCGGAGAACCGAGGGTGGGAACGGGAAAAACAATATTTTTTTTTTGTTTCCGTTTTCCGGGTTTCTTGTCAGGTACGGCTTGTCGGTCGGCGGCGGCTATACACATGAGAAAGATATGGGGGATGGAATAGGCAGGCCTTTGCTCTCTTCCAACGCAGTTAAGCAACATAGCACAACACACACAACACACAACACACACGAGGTATGGCCATGACCACGGCCACAAAAACAGCAACCATTCATTGCATCGAGTTATTCCACCCCACACCCTCTTTCATATCCATACCCATACCCATACCAATCCCATCATTACACGCTCCACAAACAACCCCCTCCTTCCTTACAGCTTTTCCACCTCCTTCAGAAGCCCCTCCAGGTTGATGCTCTTCGGCCGCTCAATCGGCAAGCCAAGCGCACGATCCCACACCAGCTGGGCGAGCGGGCCCAGGCCGCGCGACACGCCAAAAGTAGCGGTGTAATACAGAGTCTCGTGGAAGCCGTAGTGGTGGAACAGCACGCCCGAGCTGGAGTCGACGTTAGGGTAGGGGTTCTTGGTCTTGCCGTGCTTCTTGAGCACCTCGGGCGCGATCTGGCTGTTGGTGCGGACGAGCTGGAAGACGGGGTCGTTGGCGATCTCGGGGCGCGCCGCGGCGTAGTCCATCAGGGCTTCGAAGCGCGGGTCCGGCTTGCGCAGCACCGCGTGCCCGTACCCGGGGACCACGCGGCCCGAGTTGAGCGTCGTCCAGAGGTAGTCGTGCACGTCCTTCTCTGTGTACGAGGCCGGGATGGCGTCCTTCATCTGGATGATCCAGCGGAGGACTTCTTGAGCGGCGAGACCGTGCAGCGGGCCGGCGAGACCCTGGAGACCGGCGCTGTAGCTGAGGAAGGGGTCGCTGAGGGCGCTGCCGACGAGGTGGGTGGTGTGGGCTGAGACGTTGCCGCCCTCGTGGTCGCCGTGCAGGGCGAGATACAACCTCAGGAGGTCCTGGAAGTTCTCGTTCTCGCGGCCGCCCTTGCCGAGCATGGCGGCGAAGTTGTAGGACCAGTCCTGCTCGAGGTCGATCTCAGCAGGCAGGGCGCCGCCGCCGCGGTAGGCGTTCTGGTAGATCTTTGCGGCGATGGTGGGAAGCTTGGCGAGCAGCGAGATGCAGTCGTCAAAGGTGGGCTCCCAGTAGTCGGCCTTGTTGAGGCCCTGCTCGTAGGCCTTGGCGAACTTGGAGGTGTAGTTGAGGGCTGAGACAGCCATGGCGAACTGGGTCATGGGGTGTAGGTCGCGCGGGAAGTCGTCGAGCATCTTGTTCACAAAGGCCCGGTAGCTGGCCCTGCTCGGCGAGCTCGCGCGAAAACTGGCGGACCTGGTTGACCGAGGGCACTTTGCCCGTAAGAAGGAGCCAGAACATAGCCTCGGGCAGCATCTCGGTGCCCGTCTTGCCCTTGGGCAGCTCCTTCTGGCAATCCTTGATGGTGCGGCCATGGAAGCGGATACCCTCGTTGGCGTCGAGCACAGAGCCTTCCCAGACCATGGCCTTGAGCCCGCGCATACCACCGATGGTGTTCTCGACCTTGACCTCACCAATGACCTTGGCTCCGTGGGCCTTGACCTTCTTGAGCAGCTCGCGTTTGGCGGGGATCACCTCCTTGAGGGTCGTCTTGAGGTCCGGCTCGGCGGTGGCGTATGTTCGGCGCGGCGCAAGGTACGAGTGTGATGTGACAATCATGGGCTGCCACAACGTGTGCGGTCAGTAAAGTGTTTCCATCCTAGGTGTTTCATCGCAAGTGATCTGCCCACCCGCACCGGTTCGGAGGAAACTTTTGAGGTTGGTGGACTTACACGTAGGGCCCCGCTCAGGGCGTGACGCCCAGTCCTCAGACTCATTGCCATCGTGTGTGATAGTCTGTATGTTGCTCCTTCTTGGTTTACGGTTTACGATTGCTTCTGGACCAAAAGAAAGCTGGCTCAGAACTTTGAGGATTGTTTCTTCTGTTTTGTCGCTGTGACCGCTAGTGCGGGGAGCCGAGGATCGCCGGCGTTGTCTCTGATGCTGTCGTTGACGCTGTCGTTGACGCTATCCTCGGTGTTGGTGGCAGAAGGTAGAAGAGCGGAGTGTATTTTTTGCTCAGTCCAAACTACAATGCCAAATTTCGGGGGCAACGGAAATAAACTGTGATAATTTTGTGAGATTTATTATTGTCTCAAGCAAGTCGGCGTCTTGCATGTGTTCGTCACGTTCCCCCAGCTCAGCCGAGGAAAGCCGTCAACACCCCGCATGGGGTTGCCGCCCCGGACAAGCGGTCCTGGGGTCACGGCCATTGACCAATGAGTTTATGGCATCTTCCTCGGCTTTCTGGTCTCAGCATTGCCCACCAACCTTTTGTGCCTTCCTCCTTTCCCATCGCCCCGGGTGTGCGACGATCTCAAGCGGAACCCTTGCCGAACCTTGCTCTTTCGAGGAAGAAGATGGGTTGCACTGCACCATTCGTATCTCTTATCTCAACAACACACCAACTAGGCGAGGGGCCGGATCTACAGTTATCGGGCGAAGTGGTTCAGATGCAGAGCTCACTCGCACAGTAGCTTAGCCTAGCATGTTATGGCAGGCGTCTCGTGCAAGAGGCGCTTTATTCACAACGAAGGCGCATGCCGGAGTGTGTTCAAGACCCATGGCAACTGGAAGCTGGAAGTCTGGCTGCTTCGTTGCGACATGGAGAGGCTCGAGGGAGGTTCCAGGGAGGGCCAATGAGCATTCCTTTTCGACCAGTTCCATTCGGACTCCCTACCTGGGTTCAAGGAAAGTCCTTCGTTACCGGGCTGCTGCCTTGGCTTTTGGATGGCATTGTGTCGGGTGCTGCCGATGACGCACGGGTTCTTGATTGGTCAAGTCTTTCGCAGCTGCTGTGCCCCTCCACGAGGGTCCCATCGTGGGATCTTGTTTCGATGTTGCCTACTTTCCTGCCTTTTTCCTGTCTTTGGCAACATCAAGCGCGATTTGATTAAATACCCCAGGTTTCACATTGCTGTGCTTACTCTGCGCCTTTTCTGTCTCAACAAACTTCCCCGGTTCCTCCGCAAGCCGCTCTGTGCACAAACCCCGCGCAATTGCAGGTCGGCCTTGACACCCGCGCTTGTCTCATCTCACAACGCGACTCCCCGCCCACAGATTGGCTACGAATCTTCTGTCATCTCTGCTTTTCGGTGACCCTTTCGTCGCGATACACCAGCTCCCTTTCAACAATGGAAATCACGGCCAAAGATCTACCGGCGTTGTTGGACAATGACACCTCGGTCAAGCTCGCCGGGATCGACGTCGATGGCATGCTCCGCGGCAAGCTTGTCTCCAAAAAGAAGTTTTTGTCCATAGCCGAAAATGGTTTTGGATTTTGCTCTGTCATATTCGGCTGGGACATGCATGACAGGACTTACATACAGGAGCTGAAGGTCAGCAATAAGGAGAACGGGTACAGGGACATTATTGCTGTGCCAGAACTCAACACCTTCCGGCGCATCCCTTGGGAGAACAACGTTCCTTTTTTTCTGGTCAGCTTCTTTGATCCCGATACTAGGGAGCCGGTACCAGCATGCCCACGTGGTTTGCTGAAGACACAGCTAGACAAGTTCGCGACCAAGGGCTACGGGGCCATGGCGGGAGGTGAGTGACAAGATCGCTCTACCACCCTGCGACAGGGCCGAGTAGCTGACGCAGCCGTACAACAGCCGAGTACGAGTTCTACCAGTTCAAGACCCCAGCGTCCGATGGCGCCCCATCCACCGCCACGTACCTCGAACGGAACCCTCCCTCCTCCCTCCCGTTCCTGGCCGAGGGCATGTTCGGCTATAGCCTGACCCGGCCCGTCCACAACCAAGACTATTACTACGACATCTTCAACACATGTCAGACGTTCAAGTGCGATATAGAAGGGTGGCACACCGAGAGCGGGCCTGGCGTCTACGAGGCCGCTCTTGAATTTGGCGAGCTCCGGCAGATGGCAGACCGCGCCGCCCTATTCAAGTACGTCGTCAAGTCTGTCGCCATAAAACACGGTATCACGCCGTGCTTCATGGCGAAGCCCAAACAGGGGCTTCCGGGGAATAGCGGCCACATGCATGTCTCACTCGTCGACGTGGACGGGAAGAACCTCCTCTACCGCGGGGAAACGGACCCGAACCCGCCATACCCGGACGTGGCCGACCTCTCCGATTTAGGGCGCCATTTCCTAGCCGGCATCCTCGAAGGCCTGCCCGACGTCATGCCGATGGTGGCGCCCACCATCAACAGCTACAAGCGCTTGGTGGAAAACTTCTGGGCGCCGGTTACCGTATCATGGGGCCTAGAGCACCGGGCTGCCTCGATACGTCTGATCGCGCCGCCCACCGCCAAGCCGGGCGCCACGCGGTTCGAGGTCCGCGTCCCGGGCGCGGACGCAAACCCGTACTACGTGATGGCGGCCATCCTGGCACTGGGCTGGCGCGGCGTCGAGAAGAAGCTGGATTTCCCCTGCCCTCCGCTAGGGAAGGGAGAGGATGTGGGAAGTGGTTCCGATACGGGTGCCCGCCTCGCCAAGACGTTGCGCGAGGCGACTGACCGGTTCATGCGCGAGGGTAGTATTGCGAGGGAAGTTTTCGGCGACGAGTTTGTGGAGCATTTTGGCGGGACAAGGGCCCACGAGATACGGCTGTGGGATGAGGCTGTGACGGATTGGTGAGTCCCGGTCATGCCGGCTTGCTAGCTTTCCCTATCCTTCGCTCGTTTCGGTCAACTACTTGTTGCGCTCGCATATGCTGACTTATTACAGGGAGATGAAGAGATACATTGAAACTGTCTAATCTTAGGCGTTGGGGACGGGGTGTTTGAGGCGGTTAGCATACTGATTCACGTCAGCTTTTGTGATACCCTTTACGAGACAATGACGAGGAGTCTTTCCTGACAAATTGTTTCCCTTTTCGTCTCCATTCGGGGTAACATGCCCGGATTACCTCGTCGCTCATAGCACTCGGTAGGACATGAGGAAGAAGCTCCGGCCTCGCATCGGCCAGCAGACGCTGTCAACTCTTACTAACCTAGATACAACCTTGGGTATGATACACGTGGCTGGGGAATATTCGCTGGATCCTGCCGCCGAAATTCGAGATGAGTCGACGAAAGCGGGATACCGAGGGCTCATCGATCGGGGACGTCGCCGATGTCGATGGGTCAGTAATGTGTTATGAAACCGGGCAGCCAGTTATTTCAGCCGGCCGCCTCCGTCTAGTCTATCGCAGTGCAGACGGATGTGACTTCCGGTCGTAGTCTTTGCTGTCCCATGTCCTGGCGCCATGCATATTTCAATAGCGATCGCCTGACAGCTGGCTATGCGCCATCTGCGCTTGAGCCGCAATGGGGCGCCCAGCGATCTGTCGTCGACTAACGTGCTCCAAGCAGTGGACGGGGGTTGGTTTCCGCCGGTGTGGGTTCACGCAGCTTCGCGGAGCAAAACATTTAAGAGGCGTCGCTAAGAACATGCGACAGGGGTCACCGGGCAGTCAGGTCTGACACTCGTTGGATGGGGCTAAATACTGCGCAATGGCGAGATGCAGAGGCAGCCGTGACCTTTCCCCATCCGGATTTCGGGAGGCTACCGCGGCTGCCGGGGGCGCCGCTGGTAGGTGACTTCCAGAGGGCGACAGCCCGCCACGTCAGATTCACCGCATGTTGCCTCTGCAGCCGGGGGGAGAATGGCAGGTGTCTGAGACCAGACCTGGCAATCTCATGGTCCGTGGCGGCGCCCACATGCGCGAACAAGGTGTTTGTTTCGGGAGTTGACTGCAGGCCGAGGAGGGCAGCAGCAAGCCGGCCAACATGTCGAGGCACAGACGGGCAGATCTGACCTCAGATGGTCAGCAGCGGAGATAGGAAAGTCTTGCCCGGGTTGCATGCTGCCGCCATGCCTTTTTCTTGAAATCGGCTAGCCGAGCTTGGTCGAACGTCTACCGAGTGACCAAGATGGGCGAAGCCGAGTCAAGGAGATCAGCATTCACAAATGCCGTCCGACTGGATGGGTACTAAACCCGAGGGAGGCAGACAAGAGTTATGAACCCAACTCGGGAAGCCGGTCGTACATGTCGAGACAGGTGTGTAGCAGCTAGTCTTGGAAGGCAGCCATTTCGGGGGACGGCGTCGCCGAGACAGCCCACCGCGCAGCAGCGAGACGGGCCATCCCTGCGGTATCACATTGATACACTTTGTTGGTGGCTTGTCGGCCATACACATGATTTCCATATCAAGCCGGAGGTCCCATGAACCGGTCGGCTCAGAAAGTTCATCCCACCATCGCCAAGCTTCCCGTTCGTTCCCTCACCGCCAAACCTACTTGCTCCCACCAAAGAACCAAGCCGCATCAAGCATTCCGAATCATTATCGACACCAACCAGAACCATGGTAAGTCCCCCCCCCTTTCCCCTCTTACCTCCTCCCCGCTCGCCCCTCCCACACCATCATTACCTACCCCCCCTTTTTCAAACGCCAACCCCCCTTTCCCCCCCCCACTCCCATCATGAAATCAAACCAAATCCACAACAACACCAACACCAACTAACCCCCGCCACGCACAACCACACCAGGCCGCTGGCGGCATCTCCCTGGCGGACCCGCTGCCGACGATCCTCGCGCACGCGCTGCACGGGCTCGCGGCCATCAAGCAGGCGCGCGACCTGAACGAGTGGCGGTCGGCGGCGGACCCGCTGGCCGCCATCGCGGGCGAGGCTGACCGCCTCGTCGCCGCCCTGCACCTCGTGCGCGACGTCCCCGAGCTGCAGACCCCCGACGTGAAGGCCGCCCTGCTGGGCCTGACCCACCTCGCGACCTCGCTGTCGTCGACCCTCATGGTCATGGCCGCGGATAGCTTGCGCGTGCGCACGCCGGTGGGGGCTGAGAGCGCGGCGAGTGTTGCGCGGGCGGCGGAGGTGCAGGCGGAGGTGAGGGCTTGTTTGAGAGGCGGTGCTGGCGCGGCTGGGGTGGGGCGAGGAGGGAGTTTGCGGTGCTGGTGGGGAGGGTGTATGTGGGTGTTACGGGGGGGTGTGAAGGAGGGGTTTTGGGTGTCGAGGAGGGAGGTGGTGGAGGTGGGGGAGAAGGTGAGGGGGGTGCTGGGCGTGGAGATGGTGTTGGCTGAGAGGCTGGGGGCGAGGTTGGGGGAGGGCAGTGGTGAGTATTTTTTTTTTTTTTGTGTGTGTGTGTGTGTTTGGTTCGTTGAGTTTCTTGTGGTCAAGGTAATGAATGGGTGGGTGGGAAGGGTTCATGCTAACAACTTGGGTGGTGTAGAGGACCTCATCAAGCTGAACGACGCCGATGCTGCGCTGCTAGGACTGCCGCAGACGACGAGCGTCAAGATTGAACAGTGGCGGGCGGGCATGAGCGACTAACGAGTGGTACGAGTAGGGGTAGGGCGCTTGTACATCTCACTGGCTTTCATCTTCTACTGTGTAAGTTCGATGGATCATGGGGCTGGCAGATTGATTTCGAGTTTGTGCATTGCGCGACGGTACTAGGGAGGCTTTCTGAATTTCAGCCGGGTTAGAGTGGGATGGTAATCAAAGGGGCGGCTCGCTTGTTTGTTTCCTGTCTCACTTGTTTGTTTTCTTCTAATTATCTTGCCTTTGCGTTCCCCCTATCTTCTCCGAGTCTTGGCCGGCGGCGTCTACCTCGCTAGCAACAAGTTGGTCATCGACACGGTGGCCGACGGGTCGTTGTTCTCGAACTAATTTGTATGAAACCTGGCTTCAGCCACTCGGCCGGAATTCGATGTTATGACGTTTGTTACGCAAGTCATCGCCGACAGAGTCACACAGCGGTGATGGTGCTTACCCGAGACCTGGGGTGCAAGTCTCCCGCGAAGTGGCGAGATCTCGGGTTGTGGCATGCGTTGGGGAACCTGATCGAGTTGACGACAGGATGACCCAGATATGGTTGTAATAACTAGTTATTTGTTTGAACGGTTTCGAAACTATTTTCTCAAAAAGATCCTCTCGCCAACAGACCCGTTTCGAATTTAAACAAGGATTGTTGTGTCTCGCCGCTGGTTGACATTCGAGATCAACGGATTGGCCAAGATCTCAATCGACATCATGGCGATGACAGTTAAGTGAACAATGGACTTTAGCCTGATAATAGGCAGTCTTCAAGTCCATCCGAGGCTTTGACAATGAAAGGAACAACCAAAGCCCTGAAGCCCCCACTGATGCACACTCGGGGCCCTGGACTGACACTAAACCATTTTCGCACTGGGGAATCCAGGACCCCCATCAGAGCTGCGGATCGAACTGCCGTCCCCTGTCGAGCCGTGGAAGCGGGGCAGAGCCAGGGGGTGCTGCAGGGCAAGCAATTCCCGAACGAGTGAGCCGGGGCTCGGGCAATGGCAACCGACCGGTTGAAACAGTGAGCTGCTACCCGATAATCTTTGTTAAATCGGACAGGACATCCTGGCGATTGATTGTCGGACTATCAAGGTGCCAGAAACAGAGACGTCAGCTCGTTATTTGCGCGTTGTTGTTGGAATTCGATAAGTTGTTGGGCAATTAGGTTCGCAGTGCAGAAGTTGAGCGGTCACGGCGATGGCACCCACAACAGCGGCAGTGGCCTACGCCGGGTCACCGGCAGGCAACATGCCAGTCAAGAACGCGTTCGCCTTCACCTTCAGCCAACCTTTCCGGACAGCCAGCGACTTTGTGCCGCGCGAACACGCCCTGCCACGCATCGAAGCAGAGAGGCCGATTTTTGTGGACAACAAGTCGGGTACGTACGGATCCGGATCACAATTGGACAGAATACGAAGCAACTGCAGCTAGTCAGCTAGTGATGCTGTGTTGATCAGTTGGAATCAATTGGAGTCAATTGGAGTTGCATGATCCATCTGTCATTTGTCTCAGTTGGAACCCCAATTCAAACTCCAACTAACAAACGACGGCCGTAACAGATCGCGCTCTCACGTTTGGCCAGATCTCCAAGGATGCCCTCGCCGTGGCTGCCGGGCTACTGCGCCTGGGTCTCGATCCCAACGACGTCGTCAAGTTACCGCCGACACCATCATGCCCCGCGGGCCCCGAGATCGCCCCCGTCGTGTTGATCCAACTGCCCAACTGTCTTCCCTTCGCTCCGATATTCTTCGGCACCCTGGCATCCGGCTTGACGGCCACCCTCGTCTCACCAGCCCTGACTAGCGACGAGATCGCCTGGATCCTCCAGAATGCCCGCCCTCGCGCCATCATCACCGCTACCGCCTGCCTCCCGGCCATGAAAGATGCCATCACCAAGCAGACCGACGCCTCCTTCTTCTCGACCGTCCCCATCTTCACCGTCGACGCCGTAGCCGACGTATACCCCTCGGCACAACCCACCCCACCCCCGCCCTCCGACTGGCGCACCCTCCTTTCTCCAACAACCCCGCCAACAAAGCCACCAGTAAACACCGCTACCGTCTTCCCGCCCTCCCACGCCCCCGCCCGCACCGCCGTCATCCTCTGGTCCTCGGGCACCTCGGGCCGCTCCAAGGGCGTCCTCCTCTCCCACCACGCGCTCAACTTCTCCATCGCCTCTCTCTGGCACGATGCCGACTACTACGGCGCCAAACCCCAGCGCCAGGTCTGGCTGGGCTATGTACCATTCTACCACGTCTTCGGGTTGTGCAACGTCCTGCTCCTGGCCGTTGCCACGGGGAGCACCGTGTACACGATGCAGAGCTTCAACCTCGAGGTCGTAGTCAAGGCGATCCGGGACCGCGGCGTGACCTACATGCACATGGCCCCGCCCGTCGCCGTGATGCTGGCCAAGGCTACCGTGGTGGAGCCCTACGCGAAGAACGGGGGGTTCAAGACCGTCGTGGCGGGCGTTACCGGCGGTGCGCCGCTCGGCCATGAGGTTGTCGAGGAGGTGTACAAACGATGCGGGTTCCGCGTGCGGCTGGGCTACGGCCTGAGCGAGACGTGCAGCACCTCGTTGCAGCGGGGGTGTGGGGAGCGTGAGATGCGCGAGCATGCGGGGGATACGGGCCGGCCGCACTGGGGCGTCGAGGTCATGATCGCGAGCGGGGAAGGGTATGCGAAACGGGCCGGGGAGAAGACCCCCGTTGCGGCGGTGGATGTGGAGGGGGAGGTGCTGATCAGGGCTGCCGGCCTGCTCTCGGCGTACTTGCCAGTCGGGGTGTTCTCGGGGAATTCGCCGGACATGTCGGTTACCGAAGACGCCCTGACGGCTGACGGGTGGTTCCGGACGGGGGATGTGGGTGCGCTGAACGCCGATGGCAGGTTGCGCATCACCGACCGGCTGAAGGAGCTGATCAAGGTGCGCGCGTACCAGGTCGCTCCCGCGGAGCTGGAGGCCGTGTTGTGCAGCAGTGAGGCGGTCGCTGACGCGGGCGTCATCGGCATCTACGACAAGAGCGAGGCGACCGAGTGGCCGCGCGCCTTCGTGGTGCCCCGGGCCGGCAGAAAGGGCATGTCGAAGGCTGATTTGGACCAGCTGGCCGGCCAGCTCAAGGCACTGGTCGAGAAGCGTACGGCGAAGTATAAATGGCTGATCGGGGGCATCGTGTTTGTCGATCAGATCCCCAAGAGCCCGAGCGGCAAGATTTTGAGGAGGGTGTTGAAGAACGGCGGTAAAGAAACCGAAGGAGTCGAGGTGCAGTTGTATGTGAAGAAGAAGCGGGATTCTAAGCTGTGAGGGGGTTCATGGGGAAGAGTTGAAGCATTTAGATCGGAGTGTACGTTTAGAATTACAGACTTGTCTCCCTTTCCTAATGCTTGCAATAGCGAAGCCCAGTTTCCAGTTCAAACTAAGCTATCCGCTGCCCGATTTCTTGGGCGTCCAACGCATATCCCTCTAAGCGTCTCAACACCCTCTAGTACAGATAGATGGCGGCGTCCATGATGTTGTTGTCCTAATATCGAGAAAGGAGAAAGAAACTAAAATTTCAACATAAGATGGCTCGCCTTCACACATCTTCGCCAAAGATGGTCCAGCCAATTTACCCTATGTCACCCACCCACTCCTGCGACGGCACACACACATGCCTCCCATCCGCTGTCCCCAAGTCCTGGTGGTTTTAAACTTGACTTGTCCTCCAACATATCGACCATGTCTGGCTGATATAACGGCTAGGAGAACAAGCCGCCAACAATCTCCTCGAGAATAGGAGCTCCTCCTCGTCGGTCTCGAAGAGTGTGGATGTTGGTTGATGGTCTGTGAACCATGCAGACTGGCTGCTCTAGACGGACGGCTGCCGGCGTTGAGGTCGCCGTGGCCTGGTGTAGTGGAAGAGCGTGTTACGCTGCAGATGGGTATTGAGAGGGCGACGGGGGAGGAGGCGGAGAGGGAGAGCCATTCCCGTGCCGCTCACCAGCGACGGGTATTGGTACCCTGTCGCCACAGGCGCCTTCGTGTACAGGTTGTCCCTGTCGGTGCAGCGGCGTGGCGCTGTGGCGAGGCCGGTCCCCCGGTAATGTCTCAGTAGTGCTGGTGTACCAAGGCACCTCGCCGCGGCGCGAGGGACGGTATGGCGGATGGCGGCGCGGTTGAGGATGCTGTCGCTAGAGCCGGCGGGGCGCGGACAGGCCGCGGCGGCGACGGAGTTATCGACAGAAGCCTTCGGGTGGATGTCGGCCCCGTCGCGGAAGTGAGCGCCGTCGCACGGCGCAGTCAGAACCTGTGTCAGCGGCCACTCAGACCCAGAACACTCAAGTCTTGAAGAGGCGGCAAGGTAGCTACGGCGCCACCCTTCTAGCTGGCCGCGTTAGGTGTAGCCTCGTTTGGGAGGCGAAGCGGGCTGCCGCGAGGTCAAGACTGGAGGGAATTGGGTTGGTGGTGGCGGCACGAGCGGACACCTGCGTGAAGGCTGCTGAGGGCCGGGCGCGGCGCGAGGGGTGGATGGGCTCAGTGGGCTGGTGCTCTTGTTGGGTTGGTAGGCTATGGGGACCGCGGCGAAGGAGACTCCGGGCATCTTGCGCTTTAACCTTGGGAGCGGTGTTGGTGATCAGGTTATGTGTGAGCAAGAGGGGAAAAGTCGAGTTGCAAGTTCAGGGGCAAGGAGGGGCTAGATATACCACTCATATCCGACATCGCTTTATAGTCCTCCACCTGGGCCACCACCTCGGGCACAGGCATCTCCATCTCGCGTCGAACCCATTCCACTGTAGCTACCCCGGCGGTGACCTTAGAGAGATGGGTGACGGCGGGAGAGCGGCCCTTTATGTACATACCCCTAACACCAACTAGCATCCCCAGTGGCCACGCCTAGAATGCGAGCTTCCTACCAACGATCGCCACTGTGCAAGGCATTATTTACCAAACTCAAGTTGCAACCTTAGAAGAGACGGTACAAGGCTTCATAAACAACCAATTAGGATTAAAACTAGATCGCATATCATCTACGCGGACTCAGATATCACGTAGGTAACTCAAGTCTGAAAGGTGAAACATGTATTTAGGTCCCAGATGCGACTTAGTCACTAGAGGCGTAAATTAGGGTTCTGGTTGAACTTTATCTTGTGTACACATAAAATAACAGGTTCACGAGCCATTTTAGCGGCGGCGGCGGTGGTCATAACGGCCTCGATGTTGTCCAAACTCGGTGAAGACGCCTGAGGAACCCGCAACCCGGAGGATAGAACCCTACGTCGATGGTAAAAGCAAGAGTCACAAACGTTCCGACTGCCCTCAGCGTTCGTTAATTGACTGTTGGTTGCCTAAGGCGTTGCAGCCGACGGATCTAGCCCTTGGTGTTGAACCTTGCCATGTCCGGTGGTATGGATCCATTTGTCCACATCATGCCTCCCATTCAGAAAGGCTCCACCCAATAACTCGGAAAATAGTTAACAAAATGTAGAAAATTGGGTCGAGTCCATTTTACCGGCCCATATTGGAACTTCCCGGACCTTCCCTCCGAAGTGAGTGACGATAAACATGGCGACCGTGAAGGATGCTCTCATGGTTGCATAGCAGCAAGGTTATTGCCGGCCGAACTAATCAGAAGCCAAGACGTTTGGGCAACGCTGTGCAGACGGGCAGAAAATATGCTGTGAGGCCGCGTAAATCATTATATGCCGTGTGATAGAGAACTGAGTCAGGAGCCGCTCTTATAGCATTCTAGAACAAGATAAGCATATACTTTTGCAGCTTGCGAATGACGGGTGATATATATTGCATGCGTAAGATATTCCGCTACTTTTGCAGCCCTCAAACTCGCCATCCCTATCGTCCTTATTCTCCCTGGTCTTGGGAACGGTAGACGATACGTATGTACTGCCACCGATACATATACACAGCACGGAAACGACCCTGAGGCTTACGATCTAGCCAAGGGCCGCGGTAGCCTGGGAAGCACCTATCAGATAGCGGGCTAATACTGGGTGGATATCAGAGAACCCAGCCCAGTTGTTATCTTACTTTCAACCCACCCCTTCTCGTGTGTGTATAATCAAGCAAGAGCACGAACCCTGAGTGTAGTCCAATCTGGGGTTAACGTCCCATGAGGCCCTTCGACAAGGGCACCTTTTGTCATTTACTTCAATGGAGACCACCGTGATCGGGCTGATTGCCAACATCTCCCAGCCAAGCGGCGAGCTGAGGTGAAGGTGAAACTTGACTCTGATTAGCTGGGAACCTGGATGTACTGATTGTTACATCATTGGAAGTTGAATATTTTGGGCACCAGGTTATCAATCAGACAGCATACATCCAAGAATTGCGAATTGCCTTGCCCTCGTGCGTGCTACGCCATTGTCAGCAGCTCAACGACTCAACCGCACACAAACGTGGAATACTACCATCGCACCACAACGATCTTTCGGGGCAGGAGGAGAAAGGTGGCTGGAAAGGAAACAAATAAAAACGGGCTTGTACTCAGTCGCTGTTCGAAAAAGGCGATGCGGATTGGAACATTGAAGTCCCTCACTTCTTTAGACCGACCTATGGGCTGGTAGACACCACGTCCACACCCATCGCTGTTCACAGGCCACACAGTAAATCTGTCCTCCTGCCTGACTATTCCTCAGCCAGATTAGAAATAGGATGGGTGAATTTGAGCGTAATATAACCCTCGAGTCTTATTTCCCATTCTTGCGCAGACGCCCACTTGATCTTGGCTATGAGGCTATCAAGTAATAGATACCCAACGTCAACTGCACAAACCCCGCGACAGCAACGCTTTCAACCCTAGTTTGATACCATACCTACCTAATACGAGTTAGCTTGATGCATCTGGGGCAATGGAGTCACTCACCGGTCTCCTGTCCTAAGAGTAAATAAGCCAATGCTTAGGTAAATACTTGTAATGGTTATTTGTGATGAGTGTGATGAGTCTGTGATGACCAACCTGGTTTTCCACGATTCCTTCACTCGTCTCCTTTTTCCCTAATTTCTTCTTTTCCGCCGCCTTGATAACTTCATGCATCGCCATCGCTCCGCACACAAATTTTCTCTAGTCAGAGCTTTCAGCCGTAACCACGCTGTCTCAGTTACCCGTTACCAGTAACCCACGCCTCTCGCCTATTGCTAGGAGCTTGGCTCGAATTATTGCGCGGTGAAGTTGATGCGGTCCCGGCTGCGTGGAAGCGAGGAGGAAGCGAACAGCAAGCGAGCTGACTGCGTCCAATCGGAGAGGCATGGGGCTGCCACGCGGAGCAGTGCAAGGGGGGGGCTGATTCGGCTGTGGCCGGGGGGCGCCGAAGCTGCGCTCGCTTCTTTGGATAAGGCCTCGGTTAATACTAGGCTTGGGCGATCAGTGATGGGAGAGAGGGATTAGTTACGAATGACGAGCTATTAGTTGTGCTCGTGCGCCGTGATGTTTATGTCCGGGTATGTAATCTACTGGAGAAGAGTGGTTTCCGGATGCGCTTTTTCCCTCTTTCCCTCTTTCCCTTCTTCCATCTGCTGTTGCAAACAAATTGCAAATTGCGGGCATGGCAGTATTTCCGGCCTGGCCCGCAAGTTGACCGGAAGTTGCCCACAAATTGCCCATAAGCTGCCTGCCTGAGCCCCGCTGGATTCGCGCTACGAATCCACTGTTCCAGGTTTGGAGATTGCTGCATATCACTTGCTACCCCATCCAAGATTTCAAGGTCAGACACATGTAGGGATGAGGGGGACGGGAACAAGCGACCCGCGTCCGTCCCATCATCCCCGTCCCTTCTTTCGGGTCGCACAGTTGTCAACCCACAGCCTATAAGCAAAGAGGGGGAGAAAAAAAGACAATGCATTGTCCGATGGCCCGACGCAGGTAAAGCAGGGTGACACAAAACAAAACCGCCCGATGCTGCAAGACACTGAGTTACTTCCATTCCTTCCATGCTTTCCGTCCCGTCTGCAACGCTAACCCCCACGAACCCCGGCTCGCTGTCGGATTTTGAGAAAAGGAACTTTCCCCGCTTCGGTGGCATCTCCGAGCGAATCCACAACCAAATTCTCTTGCAGGGACTTCAGCCGCGGCCAGGGGGGTGTTGCGACCCACGGGGGCCACGATTTATTCTAGGAGAATGAGACGGCGTGAACGAGAGGCCCAACAGCATGGAGCCGAGAATGGAACCGGGCATGGAAGCCCCTGTGCTGCCGTATACTAGCGCTGCGCGTCCGCCAAACAGGAAGAGGGAGAGAGCGGATCAGGGACACACGGGACCGCGTATATAACCCCGAGTGAGACACCACCGTCACCGCTTCATGGAAGCTCTTGAGGAAAGAAGGGCCCGAGACACGAGACCACTCCGACTTTCTGGGAGCACCTTCTCGCAGTTAAAAGAGTTTGTAAACTTTGTTTCAGTAAGGGGGGGGATAACCACCTCGCTCGCTCACTTGTCACGACCCAACCACCACCACTATTGCCACCACGGCAGAGGGGGGAAACTCGCGAGAAGATACCCCGTTTTTTGTCGCTGTTTATGTCTGTTTCTCTCGCACGCGGCCGCAGCTTTTTCGGTATTTTTTTGCTAGGACGGATGGGTCTTGTTTTCTTTGACACACATCCACCACAACACGAAAACGTCCTGTTGATGTCGCTGCTGTACCCATGGAGTCCAACGTCGCCATCACTACTTCTTTCTCTCGGTCCTGGCGTGGGGATATCTGTGCCACCAACGGCACGCTCACCATCTCCGACACCTTCACCATCAAGGGCACCTACTGCACTCCCAAGGGCACCACCGCCGATAAACCACCCAAGGGCCTCCAGATCCTCGTCCACGGCATCACCTACAACAAAACCATGTGGGCCGGCTTCGGCTTCTCGCCCTCCAACTACAGCTGGCACACGGCCGCGACCTCACGCGGCTACGCCACGCTAGCCCTCGACCGCCTCGGCCACGGCGCCAACCCGCAACACCCGGACCCGCTCTCGGTCGTCCAACCCCAAGTCCAAATCGACATCATGCACGCCATCTTCGCCGCCGCGCGCTCCGCCACCGCCCCGCTCAACGCCGTCCTCGGCCGCGTCTACGACAAGGTCGTCTTCGTCGGCCACTCGTACGGCGCCTTCCTCGGCGCCGCCCTGGGCGCCCAGTACCCGGCCGACGCGGACGCGCTCGTGCTCGCCGGGTACAGCAGCTACTATGACTTTTCGGATATGATCGGGGCGGACTGGGCCAGCGCGGCAGACCATGACCCGGCGAGGTTCGGGGGCTTGGCCAAGGGGTATATTGTCATGGCGGACGAGACGCAGCGGACCGAGACGTTTTACGTGGGCGGGTATGATGCGGCCATTCCGCCGGTGGATTATGCGTATGAGGATACCTTGACTGTGGGGGAGATTGGGGCGTTGGCGGCGATCCTGGGGCCGGCGGTCGGGTATACGGGCCCCGTGCTGGCGGTGACGTCGGTGGAGGATGCCTTCTTCTGTGAGGCGCCCAAGGCGAAGTGCGAGGAGCATTTGACGGCGACGGCCGACGCGTTCCCGGATGCCGAGAGCTTTGACTACTTTGCCCCTGAGAACACGGGGCACGATCTGACGCTGCATTACACGGCGAGGGACACGGCTGAGCAGGTACATGACTGGTTGGATGAGAAATTGTGAGCGGGGGTTGGGGAGGACAAATACATGAGAGATAGAAATGCATAAAGGATGCGAAGAACACAGCACTCGTTTCGCGGGATTGAGTCCCATGTTCCCTGCCTTGGTGGTAAAGGCTGTGTTGAGTGGTGTGCGTATGAAGTAATACTTTCTCACAGAGTGAGGGCAGTCAAGGGTGTAGGCGAGTCCTGCCTCATTCATTCCGGGGGGAGTGATTTGCTCGTGGTTGAGCTCCTGTTTGCACTGTCAAGATTACCACTTGTGGTTTCGTCTGTTTAGGTAGAGGCACGACCCTGTAACTAGGGGACGAATAGGGGTGTCCAGCCCAGCTGAGGAACAGGAAATGCTTGTAATTGAACCCGGCTGACATCATGATATGGTCAAAGTAGATGCAAAGACAGACTGATTTCCCTTACTCCACAGTTATGTGTATTCTCATACCTGACTTTGGCGAGCGCAGCGTTATTACTACGACACAAATGTACAAACTACCTAAGGTAGTTAGTTAGCTATCATTCCCAATCCTAAAGATGAAGATTGATATCAATCCCTACTATCAAATTGCGTAGCCAAAGGCCTACCTTTGTGATTCAAATTTTATCACCTTGCCCCTCCATTCCAAAGCTTAGTTGCGTATTCAGTAGGTTTTTTTTTTGAATTGCCCCGAGTTACCCAAAACACAGTTTCGAAAACCTCCCGTTGTCAACGCTCGTCGCGCACAGGATCCATGTTCAATGTTGTCAATTATTACCTGTCTCACAACTAACGACATTAGTCTCCTTTCCTGCACGGTTTCCAATTTAGGCGCGCTTCTCAGGAGAATACACTGATCGAAAAACACGCGATTGGCGGACACGCCCAAGCCCCACGCTGAACCGAATCGAGTCCAACGGAGCTTGTACAACTGCCTTCAAGGATTCAACTTCTTCGGCGCTTCGGCGTCTGCCCGCCAATCACATCAACCACCATCACGCTTTTCGGGCGTCTCACCTGCGGCCCGTTGGGATTCGGGGCTGAAGCTGGAGAAAAACCAACTACGATCAGGCTCTACATGTTGGTGTTGTCGTGTTGGCCCTTTCCGCCGGCCAACGGCTGACCGCTATTAATAGACTTTTTCACCACAATTGCCGATATACGAATCAAACATGGGCGTTCGGTCCATCTCAAGTGACTGTCAATGGACAAAATAGTTTCCCTGCCACCGCCCCCAACTCGAGCTTTGAACAACATTACATGCAGCCACCTCGACACTGCGGCCAACACGGAAAGGCTCACTTTCTCCCTATTGGAGGCCGGGCTATCTTTCATGACCTGGGGCTCCCGTCTAACCCCGAAGGCTGGCGCGGTATTATCAGCCAATAGAGTTTGACCCCCCAGACTCAAACCCGTAGGGCTGGGAGCCGAGGAGTGCACAGCCCGGGAGGCAGGGCACCGGGACTGGTTTTACGTAAGTATCATGCATCTTTCTATTGTTAAACAAGTGTGTTGTATGTCAGATCGTTCCCCAGATTCAGGATTGCATATGCATATGGTGGTTGCAGATAACAGACCGTGGCTGATATCATCGGACCAACAAGTTGAGACACTTAACGGCCAACATGCCCAAACACGAGCGGGTCGACAGAGCAAGAAATAGGTCCAACAGCCCAGGCACTCTTTGCACCGCCTCCCCATCATAATCCATCATGTTGGATCACTTGGGCATCAGTCCGGCCTCTTTCTAGGTACCTCCGATCGCAATGCTAGCCTGGCCTCGGTGTTGGGTGTGGCAGCGCCTTTGCGAACTATCTTTGATCACACCTCACCATGGCACTGGTATAGCCCTACCCACCTAGAGACCCAAGTTGAAGCCAATCGGGGAATAGTGTTATGCTTCGCCCAACTACCACGTGCATGGTGGCCATGCACCACGACGCCCGACCCGGCTACGACACCAGTGTCCTGGATTCCACCCACTGTGCCCATGCCATGCGGCTGCACTACGCCGCTCCCGGGCCGTTGTCCAACAAGACGGGCTGATCTTCCAAGTGCCCGGATTGGCCTCGGGGACCGGCTGTCAAATCCTACTGCTAGTGGCAACAACACCATGCATAGTAACCACCTCGAGCTCCGATCACTAGCCATTCATGACAAGCCACATCAGCCCTTGAGCTGAACATGGCTGCTTCCAACCCCGAATATTGAGTTATTCTTGGATTACGGATGGAGATGCATGGCAATCTTCGTGTCGGTGTATCGCACACTTTGCGAGAGTGAGAGTGGTATTGTGGCGATCAAATATGTCTATAAATCACTGAGCCCGGACGTGTTGTCCAGTTCTGTTTCATCATCCTCATCCCATCATCGCCATCACCATCTCCTCCCTTTGACACTTCGCTCCCCTAATACTCATCTCTCATCTTACACCGAGGTGGAACACCTCTGAGCACACATTATGCTCTACAGCACCCTTTTCTTCGCCTTCCTCGTCGGAGGAGCGGTAGCTTCCCCTACAAACCCGAACACCAACTGCCCCAATGGCGTCTGCGGAGGCGTCTGCGGCGATAGGTAAGTGACAATCCCCGCCAACAACCTTCGGCTCGGACTCACTAACACCCGCACACAGCATCGTCCAGGCCCCCAACGAACAGTGCGACCTCGGCCCCAAGCTGAACGGCGCCCCCAACAGCGGGTGCAGCGCCGACTGCCAGATCGTCCCCGTCTGCGGTAACGGCAAGGTCGACTCGGGCGAGGAGTGCGACGCCGGCCACGACAACGGCAAGCCCGGCTCCGGCTGCTCGGCCGAATGCAAGTGCCTCCCTGTGTGCGGCAACGGCAAGGTCGAGGACGGCGAGGAGTGTGATCTCGGCCACGACAATGGCAAGCCTGGGTCGGGGTGCTCTGCCGAGTGTAAAAAGGCCCCTGTTTGCGGTAACGGCCAGGTTGAGGCCGGCGAAGAATGTGATGCCGGCCACGACAATGGCCAGCCCGGCTCTGGTTGTTCTGCCGACTGCAAATGCGTTCCCGTCTGCGGCAACGGCAAGACTGAGGCTGGTGAGGAGTGTGACCTGGGACACGACAACGGCAAGGCGAACTCGGGCTGCTCCGCCGAGTGTAAGAAGACGCCTGTCTGTGGCAACGGCCAGCTCGAGAATGGAGAGGAGTGCGACGAGGGCGGCAACAACGGCCAGGCTGGCGCCACCTGCTCCAAGGAATGCAAGAAGGTCGCCGTCTGCGGCAACGGCAAGCTTGAGCCCGGCGAGGAGTGCGACCTGGGCCATGACAACGGCAAGACAAATTCGGGATGCACCAACGACTGCAAGACGTGTCCGGTCTGTGGTAACGGACAGATCGAAGCCGGCGAGGAGTGTGATCTAGGCCATGAGAACGGCAGCCCCAACTCTGGGTGCTCCAAGGAGTGTAGGGCCGTTTCGATCTGCGGCAACGGAAGGTTGAGCACGGCGAAGAGTGCGATGTGGGCGAGGATAACGGTAAGCCCAACTCCGGCTGCTCCAAGGACTGCAAGACAGCTCCCATCTGCATCTGCGGAAACGGCCGTGTCGAGGAGGGCGAGGAGTGCGACCTCGGCGACGCCAACGGCAAGCCCAACTCGGGATGTTCCAAGGACTGCAAGACCAACCCCATCTGCGGCAACGGCCAGGTCGAGCACGGCGAGGAGTGTGACGCGGGCCCGCGCAATGGCGCCTACAACAGCGGGTGCGCGACCGACTGCACCATCTGCGGCTACTGCGGCGACGGCATTGTCGACCACCCGCAGGAAGAGTGCGACCTGGGGTGGCAGCTCAACGGCACGCCCGGCGTGGACTGCTCGGCCAACTGCACCACCAACACGGCCCCCTGCGGCGAGTGCGGCGACGGCATCGTCCAGCCCGGCGAGCAGTGCGACGACGGCGCCGACAAGAACGGCACGCCCAACTGGCGCTGCGGCAAGGACTGCCAGTGGGCCTCGGGCGGCCCCGTCTGCGGCAACGGCATCACCGAGTGGCCCGAGGAGTGCGACGAAGGCGCCGAGCTCAACGGCGGGCCCGCCAGCCGCTGCACCGACGCCTGCACCCTCAAGGAACCCTGCGGCCCGCCCCGCCCCCCCGTCTGCGGCAACGGCGTGGTCGAGTACCCCGACGAAGAGTGCGACGACGGCTACATGAACGGCCAACCCGGCAGCAACTGCACCACCTCCTGCGAGCTGCGCACCTGCCACTCCGGCTGCAACGGCGACGACACGCCCGCCCCGCGGTGCGGCGACGGCAAGGTAGACGCCTCGACCGGCGAAGAATGCGACGACGGCGAGTCCAACAACGGGCACGACTGGTCATCTTGCGACTGGCACTGCAAGAAGAAGGCTACGACCACGCCGGGCCACTGCGCGACGTGCAACCCCAACCCCTTCTTCAACCAATGCACCATCACGACGTCGTGCATCGTGGCCCCCGGCGAGCGCAACTACTGCGCCTGCCGCGCTGGCTACCGCGCCAACGGCCTGCTGCCGACCGACCAGCGGCAGTTCCGCCTGCAGTTCGAGGGCCAGGGCTACCGCGTCTTTGTTGCCCCCGGCGTCGAGTGCGATACCCTCTGCTCGAGCCCCCATCCGGGTCCGGACTCGTGCCAGGAGGTGCCCGTGAGGGAGGATTGTTAGGTTATTACCTAGCTGGGTACCTACCTGTCTGGAGGTGTTTTTTTGTTGGGGTGGCGGTCGGGGGAGTGGCTCAGGGGTGATTGTTGATTGGGATGAGGGCCTGAGGGGTGGTTCAGGGGTAAGGGGCGGTTGGGGGGTTGGTGAAAATTAGGTGGGATGATGGGCTTTTTCTTTTATCTTCTTGGTTATTTCTCGCTTCTTACTCTCCTTAACAGCCTCTACGGCGACTTCTTTTTTGTTACCATTTGGTATTTTTTTATTTGCTGTTATTGGGATTTGGATGTTAGAGTTCACGGTTCCCTTGGCCCTTAGGCCCTTCACTATCCTTTGATACCTCGAGCTTTAGTGATAATAGATTCGATCTTCTTAGATCCTATAACCTGCTTGTTGAGAACAGGTCCTTCTCTAGGTACTGAATCCTTGAATAGCTTGCTTGATGACAAGAGTCTTCCTGAACTGTCATACCCCAAGAGTGACATCGATCGCACCAAATCGCCTTTTATTTCCCCAAAACGCCAGCCAAATGCACGCCTTCCATCTTCCCATTTCTATCTAGTTACCAACCCAGCTCACACACATCACTCTCCCAGGTATACCCCCCGCCCCTCTATGCCTCAAAAACTAACACCACCGCGTCATCACCCGCCGTGACAACCCTCTCCCCCGTCTCCCCCTGCACAAACCCAAGTACACCGCCCCCGTCACCACCGCCGCGATGACCCCTCCACTCCTTCACCAACCCCGACGCCGCCGCCCCAGCCACAGCCGCCTGACTAGCCGTCGCACCCCTCAAATCCCAGCGCCGCACCACACCATCCAGCCCACACGAAGTCAACAACCAGCCCGCGGCAGCCGCCGCCGGCGCGGCGCGCACAAAATCAACACGCACGACCGACTCCCCATCATGGGCGCCCTTGAGGTGGCGGCGCAGGGCAAACGACCTCGACGGATCAAACACAGCGATGCTGCCGTCGACGGACCCAGCCGCCAGCAGCGGGGTGGCCGGGTTGGGCGAGAAGGCGAGCGACTCGACGCCGTCCTGCTGCGCGGCCAGCGCGGCCAGGATGGTGCCCGCCTGGTTCTCACCGCCGCCGCGCTGGGATGGGGCGGACCCGGATGGGGAGGAGAGGCGGGGGAGGCTGACGATGCGGATGGCGCCGGCGGCGCCGCCCGCGGCGAGAAGGCCGCCCGAGGGGGAGATGGCGACTGAGTAGAGGCCGCCTTCGACGGCGAAGCGCTGGTCGGCTTCGGTGAGCGAGACGACGGTCTGGGCCGTTGTCCGTGACGAGGGACTTGGCCGCGGCGGCGCCCCAGACGTCGAAGGACGTGCAGGGAGGCGTCCTCGCTGACGGTGGCGAGGAGGAGACCGTCCGGGGGTCCATGCGCCGGCGGTGCAGGCCCCGGTGTGCAAAAAGTAGGACTGGACGATCTGGATCGGGTTTGGACGGGTTCGTAGGCGTCCAGGGTCAGGACCCAAAGGGAGCTCGTCCCATGCGCCCGAAGCGCGAACGGTGTTTTGGGGTGGGCCGGGC